ATTTTCTAACACAGAAATACCACAGCTGAAACAAACTCAGTGTATGGGTTCAAGGGCAGCCTAGAGTGGACAGAGGAAAGACTCCATGCACGTGGAGATAGAAAAACAGAATTTACACAATCTCAATATAAAGCTAGTAGCTTAGGGCTGCAGTTGGGGATCGGTGGGGATACTGTCTCAAAACAAAAATGTCATCAATGTCTTTGAAGAAGGAAAAGGATGGTAGGCCTCTAAAAGTACTTGAAGAAATGCCTGAAAACAATTTGGTAAGAGACCTAAACATATAGATTCAAGAATATTAGTTTCAGACAGAATAAGCACAAGTAAATCCAATGCTAAGACACTCACAGTCAAACTTCCGAAAACTAAAGACAAAGAAAAATTCTTGACAGTGAGAGAAAAACATCTCACTTATAAGGAGGAAAGTTTTTTCTTTTTCTTTTTCTGTTTATTATTTTTAAAGATTTTCTTTATCTGTTTGACAGAGAGAGACAGTGAGAGAGGGAACACAAGCAGGGGAAGCAGCAGGCAGAGGGAGAAGGAGACTTCCCGCTGAGCAGGGAGCTCAATGTGGGGCCCGATCCTAGGACCTTGGGATCATAACCTGAGCTGAAGGCAGATGCTTAATGAATGAGCCACCCAGACACCCCAAGGAGGAAATTTAAAAAAAAAAAAAATCTATTTATTTGTTTGAGAGAGAAGCAGGAGGACAGGCAGAGGGAGAGAAAGAGGGAGAGAATCTCAAGCAGATTCCCCACTGAGTGCAGAGCCTGACGCAGGGCTTGATTCCACGACCCTGAGATCATGACCTGAGTTGAAATCGAGAGTCAGAAGCTTAACCAACTGAGCCACCCAGGCACCTCATGGGAGGGGGTTGGGGCGGGATTTGAATGACTGTAGATTTCTCATCAGAAACCATGAAGGCCCAAAGGAAGTGGCACAATGTTTTTCAAGGGCTGAAAGACAAGAACTGTCAACTCAGAATTCTAATCCAGGGAAAATATCATCAGGAACAAAGGGGCAGATCAAGGCACCTAAATTATCTTTGTTGGGGGCGCTTGGGTACCTCAGTCGGTTAAGTGTCCCACTCTTGGTTTTGGCTTAGGTCATGATCTCAGGGTGATGAGACTGAGCTCTGTGTGGGGCTCTGCATTCATGCTTGAGATTCTTTCCCTCTCCCTCCTCCTATACCCCTCCCCCAGCTTATGCTCTCTCTAAAATAAATAACATCTTAAAAAAAAATCATGTTTGATGATTGAAACAAAAATCACAACACTGTGTGATGTGATTCTAAACCTAAGTAGAGGAATTATTTAAAACAATTATAAACTGGAGAAGGTAATGAGATATAAAGACAGGTGGGATTTCTATATTTTACTCAAATTGGTAAAATGATGACACTGGCAGACTGTGATGACTTACACATATGCACACACATACACACACTGTAATATCTACAGCAACCACTAAAGCCATACAAAAAGATACACTCAAAATCAGTACAGAGAAAAATGGGATTCTAAAAATGTTCAAACAACCCACAGGAAGGCAGGCAAAAGAAAACAGAGAAATGAAAACCAGAGAGAAAAACAGTAAACAGAAAAATAAAAAGGGCAGGTTTAGGCCTTAAGTTTATTAATAATTACATTAAATATAAATGACCTAAATACACTAACTAAAAATAGAGATGGGTGGGTACAGTGGATTATAAAACATGATCCAACCATATGCTGTTGATAAGCAATCTACTTACATGCGAGGGTGTAGGTGTACTGACAGTTAAAGGATGGAAAAAGGTGTATCATGCAAACATTAATTAGGAAAAAAGAATAAACATGATTACATTAATGTCAGATAAAGTAGATGCTGGAATAAAGAAAATTACTAGAGGGAAAAAAGGGATAAAAAGTAAACATTCAAAAATCAATTTCAATTTCTAAATAACAGCAGTACATTCATGGACACCAAAATTAAAAGTATGATATAATTTATAATTGCTTTAAAAAAGAAATACTTGGGTATAATTCTAGCCACCACATATTAAGAACTTGTAAAACTATAAAATGCTGATAAAAAAAATTAAAAATCTACATAAACGGAGAACCATATTGTAGTCACGGGAGACTCAACATAGTGGAGGTACCAATTCTCCCAAACTGATAAACAAATTTAATGCAATGCATATAAAAGTATGAGTAAGATATACTTAGATATAGACAGGACTCTTTTAAAATTTATATAGAAATGCAAAGGAACTAGAATAGCTAAAAAATTTTTTGAAAAGGAAAAATAAGGAGGGAGGACCATCTACCTGATTTCAAGATTTCCTGCACAGCTATGGTAATCGAGACTATGTGGTAATGGTGGAGAAAGAGAATTAGACGAAGAGAATAGAGAACCCAGAAACAAACTCACATAAACAGGCCCAACTGATTTTTGACAAAATCACAAAAGAGTAGCCTTCCAACAACTGGGGCTGAAAAAAAAAATTGGTCTTCAATCTGCAAAATGTGAACAAAAATAAGAAAACAAGAAGGCAAAAAATAACCCCCAAAACCTTCAACCTAAATTTGATACCTTATACAAAAATTAACTCAAAACGGATCATGGCCTTAAATGTAAAATATAAAACTTAAAAACAAAAAAAAACCCAAAAACCCTTAGGTTAAAAAAGTTCACTCTGGGGCTAGATTTAAAAAAAAAAAAAAAAAAGTTCTTTGATTTTACACCAAAAAGCTTGATCTACAGAAGAAAGAATTAATAAATAGGATTTCATCGAAATAAAGATATGTTTCTCTGTGAAAGCTCCTGTTGTTAAGATGAAATGGGAGAAAATATTTGCAAGCCACATCTCCGACAAAGTATAAAGAACTCTTAAAACCTAACAACAAAAACCCACTTAATGAAAAAATGGGCAAAACACATGAAGGGATGTTTTATGGAACAGGGTAAGCAGATGGCATATAAGCAAATGGAAAGATGTGCAAACCATGAACCACGAGGGAAAGAAAATTTAAAACCACAATAACATCACTATACACTTGTCAGAATGGCTAAATAGAAAAACAGTGACAACACAAAATGCTGGCAGATTTGAAGAAACTGGATTACTCAGACGTTGCTGGTGGGAATGTCAAATGCTAGTCTGGAGAAGTTTGGCTAACCCTTAAAAAGTGAAATTTGTCATTGCCATGTGATCTTGCAATTCTCTGACATTTACAGCAGAGAAACAGAGACTTATGTTCATACAAAAATCTGCACACCATTGTTCTCAGAAGCTTTGTTTGTAATACCAAAAGTCAGAAAAACTCCAGACATCCTTCCATGGGCGAACAACTGAGCTATGGTACATCCACCCCACGGAACACTACTCAGTAATAAAAAGGAAAATGGTTCATATATACCGCAATCTGGATAATTTTCCAGAGAACTGTGCTCAGCTAAAAAAATCGATCTCAAAATGTTACAGACTGTATGATTCCATTTATTTAACGTTCTTGAAAGGACAAGATTGCAGAAATGGAGACCAGATTAGTGGCTGACGGAGATCAAGGGAGGGTTAGGGGCAGGAGGGGGTGGGCATGGCTCCAAGGGGCTATGGGGATCCCAGCAGTGATGGGGCGCCCTGCATCTTGACTGCATCAATGTCAATATCCTGGTTGTGACAAGTGGTATGTTCTCAAGACATTGTCACAGGGGAGAACAGAGAAAGGGGACATCTCATGTCGCTGCAGGCACATCTACGGTGATCTCACGGTAAAGCTCAGCTTGATTTTAAAAAGTACATTCTATGTGATTGTGTTTACCTGAATTCAAAGGTAAACTAACCTCAGAACGTTTGAAATCAGAAAAGCAATCACCCTGGCAGGGAAGGGGCATGAGGACTCCGGGGGATAGTGGAAATGTTGTTTTTTGTTTTGGGCAGTGACCACAAATTCATGTCTCAAAAAAGTACATTTGAAAGGATCTCTCCTTCCAGAGGTTTAAGACAGTCTGATATCCTGAATTTAAGATAATGCTCAGCATGCGTTCTCCTAAAATACTGCGTTTCTTCCCTTTAGAGCTGAAAGGAATCCCTGAGCTTTACGGATTTATAAATGCTAACCTGCAGAATACAAAGCATCATGGTTTTTGAGGGGAAAAAAAAATCTAGGTAGTGATCACGACAGGCCATTTTCCACTTGGGAGAATGCTTGGCTTGTCCTATAGGCGTAACGACTTCCTTTGGCAAGTGTCCGGTGACAAGAAAACCCCCACTTGCCCCAGTCTCGCTACTGAGGTCTGCCCTGTGGTGAGGCGGCCACTCCCCTTCGCCCCGCGCAGGAGGAGAGCCTACCTCGTGCTTCTGGCCCTCCAGAGCCTCCCGAGCCGCGGGCCGCGCTGAGACTCCGAGGCGGCACTGGTCTCTGAGCAGGTGAGCTTCTCGCGCCCTCCCTGACTTAGGGCCTCAGCGCAAACGTTGTCCTTTCACACCTGCCCGACCTTCAGGATGTCAGAGAACTGAGGAATAATAAAGCCTGTTACAAGTGCCCCAGGTCCCCGCGGCTCCTGGGGCGGGTGCTGAGGGCCAGCCACCACTGGGGGGGTCTGCTCCGAACACGGACGCTCGAACCCAAGTGCTTCACGTTCTTCCATCCATCTAAACATTAGGTTGCTTTCCTGTGGCCAGGAGGCAACAGCTCTTCCCTTTGCTCGAATCGTGTGTCCATCGAGAAGTGGGGGACCTCAGCGATTCTGACCAGGACGAGGTGCAGCCCCATCACACACCCATGAAATCTGATTTACGCACCACTGTCTTTGGAGTCTGGATTCTGGGAACCAATCTGCAGGCCCCTCACCAACTCCCATTTCTGGCTCTGTACAGCGGATTCCCAATCCAGAACATTCTCCCCTTCAGCTCCCCGCCAGACCTAGGAGAGGCCAATCTTTCAGTCTCCCTCAGTGATGTCTCTCTTTTCGATTCCATGGTGATCAATTTAAATAAAAGGCCTAACGCAAAAATCAGGCAAATATGTTTAATTTTTTAAAATAACTGATGGCAAAATAAAATATTTACATCACATCATACTGTGTAAACATGTAAGGTCTCTGTACAAAGAAATATACATGCAAAATAATGTAAAAACTTAACTGAATAAAAGAAACAATACACAAATAAACGTTGTGAGGTTACGAATACACATCCAGTTTTGAATCCAATTTCTTTTAAAAAGTTTCTGTACAATTTTACAAGAAACAAACAAAAACCCAACAAAGGAATAAATAAAATACACTGGAAGCGGCAGAGCTGAACTAGGCCAGTTTACGGCTCAAGACTCTGGTGTCTGGCCGGCTGGGGACGCGGCTGCTCTCTTTTGTGCATTTCACACAACGAAGGAAAAAGGACATCCCGAAAAATGCAAGTGTGCCCAGAAGCCCCACGGCATGTCCCAAGGCCTCCCCACCGTGGCGTGAATTCTGCCAATGACACCGACGTCAGATGCCGGCCTCAGGGTGGCTAGGGCTTAATTGGCTTTTATTTCTTACCAAAAGCACAAAATCCAGCCAATTTCTGTACAGAAAGTTGAACGTCAAAAAGTCTAAAAAGTAGTAAATGTCCAGACTGATTTTGGGGAAAAAAAATAATACTTTGGCATTCTGAATAATAGCATAATAAATTTTAAAACATTACCCTATTATCCAGTTTTATATTCAGAGTATGAAATCACTTTTTACAGTCCTCAAAACTGACAAATTTCACGAAGAGTTAAATCTCCTTGAACTGATGGCACAGGGCTACAACCCCTCCCCCCACCCACCCCCGACACACGCACAAAACCATAAAGCTCACTGTACGAAGCATGTGCTTTTTCTATATATTTATTACAGGTACAACAGAGGTCTTCATAAATAGTTGCATAAAATGTTAAAGCCACAACATTGCACATGATATGAAATAAAACAACAACAAAAAAAAAACCAAAACCCCAGTGAGTGCATTTACAGTATTTTCATCTGACTGTATACTGCTCAACAATCTGACTGACGGCTTGGAGGGGTGGGGAACACGGGGAGGTGACTACTGCGGCTCAGGGCAGGACCCAACCTGATGTCCTGGGTGGAGGGGCAGAGCCCCCTGACCTCCCCCAGAGGAAGCCCTGGGCAGCGGGTAGGGAGCAGGAGGGAAGGCAGGAGGGGAAAGGACAGACTGAAGGCAGGACCAGTCTTATATACAAGTAAGGCCTACATTTCATCAGAGCAGAACGATTCATTCTATTTTTATGCAAAAGTCTGAGGTTGAATGCACATTTCAGGAGCCCAGTCTGGCGTCCCAGCGAGACGCACACAGACCCGGCAGCTGGGAAAGCTCAGAGCCAGGTGGACCCCGAGCTCTGGACGATGCCGCAGGGACGGCCACCACGAGGGTGAGTCCTCCCCGGAGGGGTCCGCCATCTGTTTTGTTCGTGAACACCAGTGGTTGAACACAGGCATTTCGTTTCCTTGAATAAATCTTGGAAAATGTTAAATTTGCAAAATTCTATTCATGTTCGTTTAAAAAAGTTTCTTTTTATTTTTTGCAGAAACCTGAATAAAAGACTGTGATACAGCAATGCTGTCTCCGCTCACGAGAGCGTGCGAGAAGGTCCTCCACCCCAGCACTGCGTGCTCCCGAGGCCCAGGCGCTCCCGAGCACAGCTCGCTCGGAGCCCAGTGTCACACGATGAACATACGGCAGCTGATCAGTCCTGTTGGTCTGTTTTCTTCGAAATTCAAATTAACAGCTGACTGGCAGGTGAAAGAGAATGAGAAAGAACTTCAAGATAGGTCAAACTCGAGGCAAAAGCCTGCTCTGTAAGAAGTTTTTAACACTACGGATAGGTCGAACATCGTTCTGGTGTTTGCGCCGCTCAATGAAGGAAGTCAGTCTGGACGTGTCGAGGACGCCCGCCCCTTTGCCACCGCCATGGCCTGCCTGCAGCCACTGCTCCTGGAGGGCCAGCGCAGCCGAGGGACGCTTGGCAGGGTCCTCTTGCAGGAGGAAACACACGAACTCCTTGGCCTTCTGGCTCACTCCTTTAAAGCAGTCCTCTGGGAAACTAAAGTCTAGTCGGCAAATGTTCAGGCAGGTCTCCTCCACGCTGTCGTCGAGGAAGGGGGACACGCCGCTGAGAAGCACATATGTGAGCACTCCGACACTCCATGTATCCGAGGTCAGGGAGATGGGGTTCCCAAGGATGATTTCAGGGGCTGCAAACTCGGGGTTCCCCAGTAACTGGTGGATGTAGTAGGTCGTGTTGAGTTGGACAGCATCTCCAAAATCAGCCAGTTTAATCGTTGGCTTGGCCAAACTCTGATCCACCAGAATGTTTTCAGGCTAGAAGACAGGGTAAGACAATGGTCATTTCCATCGATCCCCATCTCAAGCTTACGTGGGATGAGCACCAGGAATCCACGAAGTCAACTGGAAGAAAGCATCCCACGGAAGATGGGAGGTGGTTCCAAGCGTGCAGTCCGAGGAGGAGGAGGAGGCACGACACAGAGGGAATGCCACCCCCTCCTCGCAGACAGCCCTCCCGGCAAGTGAGCACGAAGGCACCGTGCTGAAGAATGCTGGCTCAGGAAGCTGGGCATTCGTTGGCACTCCTGGCTCTAATAGTAAAAGTCACCTTCCTTTCTCCACTACCACTGACCCAGTCCCACATCAGCCTCACAAAGCTCACAGGAACTTTCTGGAACCTCATGAAATGTGTGAAGATCTCAAATGTTTATCTTATACTTTACTGACTGTTTATATCATTGAGAGCAAAATCCTAAAAATGGAGATTAGTTATCAGGGTTCCCACTACCCACCTCCTCCTGTAGGTCCGCCATCCCCCCATGCCTCCTGGCCTGGCGCAGTGGACACATTGGGAGGTTGGGAGGAGGCCCCTGAGAGCCAGGTGGCTGGGCCATGGTCAGACACGCTGGCCTTGGCCCCAGGAGCCCCACTAACCTTCAGGTCCAGGTGTGCTATCCTGCAGTTGTGAAGGTATCGGACGGCTTCCAGAACCTCCCCCAGATACGCCCTGATCTTCCCTTCGGTGAGGTTTCCCCATCGCACCACACAGTCCAGGAGACGCCCCTGGTCAGCCCTGTGGAGGCAGGAACGTGTGCAACACTCGTCACGGTGCTGGGTCACTTCAGAGGCAACAAACAGCTTGTCCGTGCCCGCTGGTAACATCCGACCGGGCTGTTGCTTCAGCAGCACACCTCTGCCTACGGGCAGGACCGTATCGAGTGGGACCGCTGGTCGACCTCGTCATGGATGTGAGCGGGGAACAAGGGTGCCCAGCCCTCGGAGGTGGTGGGGAAGGGGAGAGGAAGGGCGCTCTGCAGGCACCTGCTGTAGGATGGAATAAAGTGACACACCTCCCTGAGCCTTCGCTCCGTCATTTGTTAAGACCGGCAAAGGGAAGGCCACATGAGGTAACGTAAGCAAAGAGGCAGACCTCAAGGTGTGCTGAGAAGACAGCCATTGGGAGCTGCCGCCTGGGTGTTCCACAGCACGACAGGCTGTCCCGCACGCCTCCAGAGTCTGGACATTTACCCAGGTTCCCGCTGTGCTTTTCCTGGGTGCCTCTGGAAACAACCACTCAGAGGGGAGCTGTGACCAGTTAGTGACCTCGGCCCCACCCCCGTATAAGTAACACCTGCTGCCGCTGCTCTCGATCTCCCGCTCACTCACGACCTGGGTTGGAGGGCTGCCCTTCCCCAGCTCGCCGCCGCCAGTTCTGGGACCTGTGATCTGAAACTGTGCCTTCCATCAAAACATCCGCAGAGCTCCCGTTTCCCTGAAGCGGGAGCAAGGATGCTGAGGGATTCATGCTGGACTCGAAAGGCTTCCTACTGTCAATGACTTTGACAGGGAAAGCCACTGACGGCAGCGCTGCCCATGGGCCAGGCACTAAACGCTTACTGTCAATTCGCTAGATCCTCATGCCGACCTTCCCAAGGCCAAGCAGCCGCCCAGGAAGGCCAGCACTGCAGCGAGGCGCTCTGGCCCCAGGCTCTCTGAACACCGGGCTACGCTGCCCGCTGTCTGAGGAACAGGAACTAAACGGAAAATCAGCCACTTGTCGGGTAACAAAGAGGAACTGAGGAGAATTTGGTAGAAATCGGTTACGAGCCTATGGCCATACCACCCTGAACACGCCCGATCTCGTCTGATCTCGGAAGCTAAGCAGGGTCGGGCCTGGTCAGTACTTGGATGAGAGAAATCGGTTATGAAAAGAAATCCTAGTAACAGTACAGTGAGACTAAACCATTCGGTTTTCCACTAAGAAGAAACGGCAGCTGAACACACTTAAAATTTTCAGCCAGAAATGGAAGTCCCGTTGGTTTCTGACAAGGACTTTAGGACAGTTCTCCTTGAAAAATGCCCACATGAGCAGTAGCTGCCAGACAGCCAGTATCTCCAGCCAGAACAGAAAAGAATTTAAACACAGCTCAATGCCAAGGTATTTCAGAGAGGCAAGAATGTTCTAGGGTGGGCTTCCCAACCCGGGTACCTGCTCGGGGAAAGGTGATTCTCCGCTGCAGGCCCATCGGGCCCTGCAAGATGCTGGGCAGCACTCCTGACCTCTACCCTCTAGATGTCAGCGGCACCCCCAACCCAAGTTGGGACACCCCAAAAGTCTCCAGACATGGCCAAATGTCCCCTGGGGGGAGGCAAATGGCCCTCAACTGAGGATCACAGCTCTTGGGTCACAGTTTTCACACTCGCTCCTTAGACCAGTGAGTGCACTGTTCATCGGGGTGGCACACTGAGCTCACGGAGCCCCATGGGACTGGGGGCTGCTCTGGCCAGAGGCCCACCCCCTTTCCCAAGGACGTTCTCTGCGCAAGGTGCATCGCACTCTCCCATTCCGACCGTCCTGCAGTGGGCCAGAGCTCCGAGGGGCAGGACTGCAGGCCCGAAGCATCAGACATGAGCAAGATCTTAGGGAGCCCACTCAGCAGCCATGAGGCTCCCGGGCCCCCAGGAGCCATGTGGTGCCTCCTGCAGGGGCAGGAGTCTTCAGGGGCCTGGCCCCTCGGGGAGCCTGGGAACCCGGGTGGTGCTGAGGTGTTTTGATGCTAGGCTCACTGCTCCCTCATTTGAACAGCATGTGCTGAAGACTGGACTTCTTTCTACTATTATTGGAAAGCTCTAGAACTGTGTTCTCTGACGACAGGCATACACACATGCACATACACACACACTACAGGAAATATGGATCCTGAAATTCTGATTTCTCTCTGTCTCAGAGAACAAACAACAGTAAAATCACTTAAGGCTGAGGCTGAGGCTTACGAACAGGGGAGGGCAGTGGGTGCGTACGCACATTTCCAACACCAGGACGTAACTGGTGGGGGTCTCGAAGGTATCAAGGAGGCCAACAAGCAGTGGGTGCTGGAGGTTCTGCAGGATTCCAAGCTCATGGGTGACCTGGTCACGCTTCATCAACTTCTTGTTCACAAACTTAGTGGCCACTGCTCGTTTGGTTCCTTTCTGATCACATTTTTTAACGACAGAGAATCTGCCCCTGGAAAACAGGTTGAGAAGGTCACTTTCAGAGGACTCTGAGTATGTCACAGAGAAAAGACTCTGCTAACCTAAATGGACTGGAGACCTGTCTGCAGGCCCTGCTCTCCCTGGGCACTCGTGGAGGAGCAGTGGCTCACAGTGACCCCGAGGGAGCCTGCCAGTCTCCGAGCCCCTCTGCCACTGACGGTGTCTTCTCCTTCCTGGAGGCAGGCTCCATTTCCTCACCCTGCACCTGGCCAGGCCACGTGCCCTCCTGACCTCTGGAAGTGGCAGAGGTGATACCATGGGGCTTACCAGGCAGCCCCCTCCTCTGCTCTCATGGAAAACCTTCCTTACCACGTCAAAGAGCTTGAGCTGTACGTGGTGGCTCCAGTCACCTCATGCCCCCTCCTTTCAGAAGGGATGCGTGTGTGGGTCTGGTCACCCACTGATAGCCCACGGCCTCTGATGCTCTACCCAGTAAACCGTACCCAAGAAGCTCAGAAGACCTTGACCTGACCTCGATGATAGGGTCCTGGACCTCGAGTCCGAGCTTACTACCGATGATGACTCTGGGAGCACCGGGGACAGCAAGGAATAGAGGTAAATCTGTAAATAAATGCTGAAATGGCCACACCACCTTGCTAATCCTCCCACAGAGAGGCACAGTCTATTTCTCTGGTGTTGAATCTGGCCTGGCCGGTGGGTTTTGTAGGCCCACGCAATGCTGGGGAAGTGTGGTTGCGGATTTCTGAGGCTGGGCCTTAAAAGGCTTTGCAGCTTCTGCTTTTGCTGTCTTAAAATGCTTCCGCCATTAAAATGCTTCCGTGAGGAAGCCCAGTGTGGAAGTCTATGTGGAGAGAGGCCCAGCGTCCCAGCCAGCTGAGGCCAGGAGAAACCAACAGATCTGCCTAATCATTCACATGTGTCAGAAGTGATAGTAAGTGTGTGTCTGGTGCAGCAGGGGTAAGCGAGGGCGTGTCAGCCTGACATACCAGTGGGTGAGCAGGTACCCGGAGGCGCACGGCCACTGTGGCCACAGGACTGTAGGAGGCTGCTGCTGGGGCAGTTTCTTGGAAAGCTTTTTAAAAGAGACAAGCTCAGCTGGCATGCTTTTGACCTCCTTCTCACCACATGGGTCATGACCCTGCACGTGGAGAAGTGCTGTGTGGACGGGCAGCAGGGCCAAGTCAGAAGGAGCCTGCCTGGGGGCCAGGACACTTCTGAGCCACTGCCCCAGGCCTGGCTGCCCCTTCTGGAGGGAACCAGCCTCTTTCTCTCTGTTTGGGCAGGAGGAAGGACCCTGCCCCTCCAATCTACATCTCCAACCTGAAGATCCCATTAAGCCTTCCTCAACTGGGACTCCCCAAGAGAATTAAATGTCAACCAAAAAGGGTCTGAGCGACTCTCCTCTGACTTCCCCAGGGACCGGACAGAGCTAGCACAGTCCTGGAGGCACAGCAGGAGGGTTAAGTCATTACATCAACAGACGGCTTATGGCATTAGGCCTTAATTCTCTCTTGGAACCCAAGCTGAAAACATCTTTACTCCCTCAATGTTTAATATCAAAAGGCAATTACAGATTATGTTTCAAATATAATTCATGTAACTTCTAACTGGTGGCAAAATTCCCTACTAATCTTATCAGCCTACTCTTACAGAGAGTTATGTCATACACTCTGCTCTCCTGGGAGGGGTCCTGGGTTTTATTTCATACCTGCCAAGCTCAGCCACTTCACTGTAGAAGGAGTCAAAGTTGTCTTTCCAGGTCACCATGATCCCATCACTCCCTGGACCTGCAAAAAGAGCATGATCTCCCCTGAACTTGGGTCATGTGGCGCTTCCTGGGAAGAAGTCTACAGGCCTGCGCTGTCCAATATGGCAGCCACACGTGGCTACCGAGCACCTGACCTGTGCTGGAGGCGTGAATACACACTGCAGGCCGGGACTTAGGACGAAAAGAGATGGATTCACGGGACAGAAATAAACACGCTTCCTTTACCATTATTTTCCCACTCGCATCTCCAAGGTGGGAGTCTTCTACCTTCCTAAGCTCCTTTAGCTTCTGCTACTGATTTCTTACAAAGCAAAAATCACCTGCATAGTTTGTGACATCTTTCACAAATTAAAACACTGGCGATTCTTCCCTTTTAAATTCAAGATTCTCTTTCTTCCTTGTGTCATGATCCAAGAATCAGATGATTTCCTTTCTCTGGTTTAATAAGGTTAAAATAGCTGGGGTGAAGACACATGGGATAAAAATGCTAAGCCAGTTCTGTTCATTGTCTACACACAGGGCACTCCCGGACTCAATACACCTTTTAGGTCAGATTCTTATTTTTGCTCTTGGAAGCAGTTTCCTAGAGCCGGGCAGCTGAAGGATGTACGGCAATGTCAGCACACGGCTGGCTTCCGTGGAACCAGAGCTGCAAACCAACCGGTACGTGTCGCCTACTGAGTATGTACCCAGGTCAGTGCAACCAGTGGGAATTTAAGAGGGCCTGAGATGTGGGTTCTGCCTCCAGGAGCTCACGGTCCGGCCAAGAAGAGAGAACAAGGCCTTGCTGGGCTGTAGACAGAGCAAGGGCTTCAGACCAGAGCGACACCGGGTCCTACCGTGGTTGCCCTGCGCTCCTAGGAGGGATGCTGTTAGGTCTCAGTGAGGCACAGAGTCTGCACAGGCCTCAGCCATGCTCCTTCCTCTCCTTCCACAGTCTGCGAGAAACCAACTTATAGGACATTCCCTCAGAGCCAAAGTGTCAACTGAGCAACTACGTAAAAGAGAAGTCAGATACGAGAATGTGTTTTGAGCACTGTGAGATGGAACACACCATGTTCCAACCTGGAGGATGGCACCGGCTGCTCGGATGCCCAGGGCCTGCAGTCAGTGGCCTGCACCGTGTACCTCCCCGAGACACCCTAGACATTGGGGTCTGCCACTTGCAGCTCTCATTGGGAAGGTCCCACAAGTGACTTACTGCCAATATTTCAGCCCTCTTGAGTGTGTTTGCGCAGGGGTGGGGTTTCTGGACCTGAAAGTCTGGGAAGATGTGTGCCCCTGGCTCAGGGGTGTCGCTTACCCAGCACCCTCAGACTGGCTGAGGATGAGGCTGAACCCATGTCGTTCACAGCGATGCATGTATAGATGCCATCATCTTCTGTGGTCACGCCAATGATCTTCAGAGTGGCCTCTCCCAAGTCACTGCCACACAGAGAACAACACACTGTGAGTCACAAAGGTACAGCTCCCCCAGTGACCATCCCTACCCTCTCTCCTTTGGGGTCACAGAAAATGACAGAGGAATACTGACAAGGAATTTCAGTGGAATTTTAATTTTTTTGCACACTCCGGCATGAAATGCTCCCTTGTGGGCAGCGTCAGGGTACAGAGGGCAAGTGAGGGGTGGATATGTGGTGGTCACAGTGGACGGAGGTCATGCTCACTGCCAGCGAGATCCACCCTCACCTGTAGGAGATGCTGTAGTGACCATCGTTGTTCAAGGTGTTGTGTTCAGGGCCCTTCCAGGTGATCGAGGCCTTGGGGCGGCCACAAACTCGACATCTAAGAACAACGGTCTCTCCTGTCTCACACGTGACCTCACTCAAGGGAATGACGAATTCTGGGGGAACTGCCAGAGAAAGGAGTCACTGACACCTGTCATCCTTGGCTCCCTTCCCACACCCACCAATCCCAACAAGAATGAGAACGAGTTGTCGCCCATGCCCTAGTACCCCAGAAAATCTGCTCCCCAGGTTATGCGCCAGTGTTCTACAACATGCCCCATAGAACCTACACTACGCAAAAGCAGAGGAATAAGATAACAGAACTCACCGTCATATATGTAATTGGGGTTGAGAAGCTGAAAAGGAAAGAGCACATGGATGTTGGCCAGAAACATGAACTGCTTTGAGATATGTTACTTTAATTCCCAGGCTACAGATGAACAGGAATACAACTTGACTTATGTGGGTCTCAAAACAGAGCACATTTTCACTGCCTTTAAGCGCTCTCAAAAAGCCTCATGTCATACAAATTTCAGCGAATTTTTGTTTTGCTACCCACAAACACAAAAGAGCCTCTTGAACTCAGAAATGTCCATTTTCCTCATCGAGTGGGCCGGGTTCGGCTGGTCCCTGGGCCCCTTCTGAAGAGTGGCCAGTGCCCTGACCTGAGCCCTTGTATTCCCTTTAGGGTTGTGCAAGCAACCACCCCCCAGCTAGGTTTAAGGCAGTCTGACGGGAATAAAGCTGACCGAAGCAAGCACCAAGGAAATGTGCTAAAGCCAGTGAGCCTGGGTGTCCAGCCTCCAGTCACTTCCCGGCAGTGCGCAGCGGGCAACTGGGGAAGTCAGTGCCACGGCTGCTTCACACTGTATACTTGGGAGAACCTGGCTCTGCATCACCAGAGCTGCTGGCAGCGTTCTTCGTAAGCTACATGTGCACTGGTCAGCGACGCAGGTACCCGGCGACTGGAAACGCGCATGCGCACCTGTGCCGGGAGCACGGTCCCCGCCAGCCCTCTACAAAGCGGGAGCTGCCGACAGGGCAGCGGGCGGTGATGGTGGGAGGCAGATGGCGGCAAGTGAGGCCAGGTGCCAGGCCCACGACTCCTCCTGGGCCGCCACTAGCCCAGCCACTGCCTCGGGAATGAATGATGTAGGCTCCTGGGCCATCACCAGCCTTGCCCTGGGAATGAATGATGCAAGCTCCTGGCCGTCACCAGCCCTGCCACTGCCCCAGGAATGAATGAGGCAGGCTCCTAGGCTGCCACCAACCCCGCCGCTGCCCCAGCAATGAATGAGGCAGGCTTCTGGGCTGCCACCAGTCCTGCCGCTTACCCGCAGGGATGGCCAAGGCTCTTGGAGATGCTCATACGCACCTTCACAGATACCTTGTTGCTGAGCCCCTCCCGCGACTTCCGATAACCGTTCTCCAACTTGCCTTCCCGCTTGCCGTCTTTATCTTTTTTCTCAGATTTTTTCCTTAAACGGAGTGCTGTGTGCCAAGATGTTGACTTCCTAGGGGGAAAATAACATGTTGGTAGTGTTACATCTTTCCAGTGTTCAGCAAGCGATTCCTGAAAGCCTTAGAGAAAAGCTGAGTAGCCCACTTAAGGATTTGGGGTGACTGAGGCTCCCTGGCACCAGTGAGCTCCGCTGAGGGAAACCCGCCTGTGGGTCTCAACCATCAGAAGGGAAAGTAGCTCTTCACTTTTGAGGATTAAAAATACCAAAGTGCTGGTAATGGTCAATTTTATGTATCAACTTAACTGGGCTATTGGGTGCCCAGAAATGTGATCAAACATTGTTCTGGGTGTTTCTGGATGAGATTAACATTTTAATTGGTAGAGTAAAACACACTGCCCTCCACAACACTGGAAGCCCCCTCCAATCAACTGAAGGTTTGAGTAGAACAAATAGATGGGCTTCCCTGAGCACGAGGGAATTCTCCAGCAGAATGGGTCCCCAGCCCACGGCCCTCACTGCAGATTCCGACTTCCTAGTCTCCATAACTGTGTGAGCCAATTCCTTACATTGCCTGCTTCCTCCCTGGAACACATACACACACACACACACACACACACACACACACACACACACACACACAATCTCTCTCTCCTACTCTCCTATTGGTTCTCTCTGGAGAACCCTAATATAAGGCCCAAAAACACTCTTTGATAAAACAAAGTACAAAACAGGAATCTTGAACAATGTGCTAGAATAAAACATGCCTATCAAGGAGAAACAGGACAAGGGGATTGAGGAGAGGCTCTCTGTAGCCTGAACTCAAGGCCCCTTCCCTGTGGGACTGTAAGGTCCAAACCCGGAGGTGCAGGGTGGTGCTGGGATGCGGACCAGCCTGAGCTGCGAACCCAGACAAGGGTCCTCCATGCTTGTAGAGGAGCACGACCACTGCCACACTGCCTTTGGGTCTACTGGTTTGGGCTGATCCCTACCACAGGTCAAATAGATTCAGGGAAGGGCAGGGTTTTAAACCAGCACCTGAATTCAGTTTTCTTTAAAAACCAAAACAATCGGGCTCTCTGCTCCGCAGGAAGCCGGCTTCCCCCTCTATCTCTGCCTGCTGCTCTGCCTACTTGTGATCTCTCTCTCTGTGTCAAATAAATAAATAAAATCTTTAAAAACAAACAAAACAAAACAAAATTTAATACAGCAAAACTGGTCATTTCTTAACTGAATGAACCTTCTGGAAGAGGTGAGGCGTGATGGTGATGGCACCACACAGATGTTCACCGGCAGCTCCCGGAATGAGCGTCTGCCCGGCTGCGCCCTTGGCATAGCCGGCTAAGGAGTCAGAGGTCCTTGGGGAATCCTCATCCCCAGCCCGAGACCTTCGGAGACTATAGTACTATTGTAAATACCCCAGTAGCTTAAAAAGGCTGTCTGTCTGCAAATGGAGGGTATTAAAAGAGCCTGTCAGAACAAGTCTGAGAGATGAAGGGCCACCCCGTCCTCACTCAGGGGCTCCACACTGTGCGCAGAGATGAACTCGCCCCGACAGACGACGCTGCTGCTCTCTCGCTGGACCTCCCGCCTCCCAGGGCCTCTAGGCCTCCCTCGCGCGCAGGCCCCTCGGCCCTTGGCTGGCCTGCCCGGGACTCACTTGAGAGTCCCATCGGGGTTCTCCATGATGACTGCACTGGTATGCCCCAGGACGAAGCCTGGAATCCAGCCCTCGGCTGCGGGGCACTGGTCAGTGGCGGCTCGGAACACCAGAAACATGTTCTGTTGATTGCTGGCCAGAATTTGAACGACCTCTCCTTGATAGACGTTTATCTCATCCTCCTTCACTGCCGTGTAATCGTGTGTCACCAACATGGTGGAGATGTTGCTACTGCTGCTACTTTCACTCTGGAGCGGGAAAGACCAAAACAAGAGGCAGAGGGGAACTGAAACGAGATCTGAGGTCATGAACTCGCTTGTCAGCGCGCGCCGCAGTGTGACGACCCAGAGCGGGGCTCACCAGACAGACACGAGGCACCTGCCCTCCTCTCCATGCGCTCTTTAGTTATCTTTGTGCCTCTTTTTGGGTAATGAAAAATCAGGATTTCTCTAGAAAGCAACGCAAACAACAATCTAGATTCAATCACCGCAATGATGACCCTTTGCTTTTGGGAGCTTCATCTACTGTCTTAATCCCATCTTCCTTGCACCCTCCAAGGAATGGCTCAGTCCTCCTGTGGATGCCATGCTGCCTTGTCACTGGGACTACCAGGCTCATTTTAAAAAGTATTATTACGTTCAAAGGCCACGGAGAGTAGCTCCTCAGCTCACTGACTCAGCAAATGATGGAGCGACCCCAAGTCTGCCAGAGAAAACATTCCCCGAGAACGCATGTCCGAGGATCCTGACAAGCTGCTGACAGGCCTCATCACTTTTACCTCTTTCTCCTTTGAAAAGAATGAAGAACACCTGAAAAGGGAATCAGCGCTGTTCTGCTCTCATGGATAGTCACTCTGCCTGCCGTATGTGGCCCTCAGTGAGCGGCCCTGAACTTGCACAACTCAACTGTCCCGAAGGTGCTGTTGCCACGGGAACACAAAGATTACACAGCATTGCAGAGCAGCTGTGGACACCGCAGGCCCCATGACTCAAGCTCCGGGAACAGCCTTTGGCATGAGAAAACCTATTCTCTTCTGGAGTCCTAGCGGGGCCCAGTATCTTGGTTCACCGTGTCTCTAAGGTCCACCACAGTGACGGACACGTAGCAGACACGCAGTACATATTCAGCGACTCAATGAGGCAAGACGGCAAGAGTAAAACACAGATCGTTTCTTAAGGCCACCTACCTAGGCCCACAAGCTGAGTGGTGTCAGCTGCTGAGTAGAAGAAACACAAATGGCAAATGGCAGTATTTGTCCCCAGCTGTCATGTACCAAGTGACCCTTTTGTTCCAGGGGAGGAGGAGGAAGCTGACACCACGGGCACATCCTGAGCTACATCTTGCTCAATGCCCCCTATCAACAGGTGGGGCGCGGGAAAGGGCGTCGTGCCCTGCTCCTGGTAGAGCTTGTCCTCAGAGGCTCCCACCAATGATGTCGTCTGACTGCTTGCGGGTCCCCCGGGCTCCGAGGATGCTAGCCTCTGCTGGGCTCTTGGGTGCCCGGGGAAGCTCCCAGGTGGCATGGTTGCAACCGTCAGCCAACCCTGCCACGTGCCTGTCAGTCCTGGGCTACTGAGCTGGTGTTAAGATGCGCGGGAGCAGACGGGTGGGCCGCCGTTAACAAGCCAGTGTGCGGAGGATTCTGGGGTGCGGAGCTAGGACTCTGGCCCCAACGCAGCAGAGTGCCAAGCTCTGGTTCTGTCTCAGCTGGGAGTCTGTTGCAGATTCCTACTTCTCGTGGGTCCCCATGCTGTCCACGTTAGGCTACGGCCTGTGCACATTCACTTATGCCATTTTATTCTTTTAGCATGTACTTTATTCTGACTTATATAGCAACACCCAATAGTTTCTAGATCACAAAGCCAAATTGGCTGGAAAATGCAAACAAAAAGCAACTTATGTGGCACAGCTGCTTTTGGCCACAGAGCATCCCAAGCTCTCTCATAATTTTGCCACAATAATAATTGCTATCAGTATTTTCTGAACAACCCCTAGGCGCCAAGCTAAGTATCAGGCATTTAAAATCTGTCTCCCTTAGTTGTCGAAGCCACCTTCCCGGCTGGCACAATTATCACCCCCTTACAGAACGGGGGGTTGGGCATGTGCGTGGGCCATCTGGCCTCGGAGACGAAGGCAGGGGTGCACTTCTACCGCTGCCAGGTGGGCAGGTGCAGACAGATTGTGCATCCACATTTGGGGGCTGGCATAGTCACCATGTGGGTTGGTCCTCATCCACTCCACTTCTGCTCTCAGCAGAACTTTCCAGAAGGTGCCCATGAAAGGAGCAAGATGAACCCAGGCCATGGGCTGGGCACAGCTGCTCGGCTGTGACTGCAGACAGCTCCGTGGAAGTAGCCAAGAAGGAAGGTGGTCACTGCTGACCCACTAGGAGGATAAGATGACCGAACTGGGTAGAAATGGGGCAGGGCGACAGTTGCTTTTAACCAGAACATGTAAGAGTCCTAGAGGACATGTTCACATCCCCATTTAGGCCCCTAGTGGTCTTCCTGGCCTTCCAGGGCATTTCCGTAAGGCACTCTGACTCATCAAAAACACTGGCAATCTCCCTTTCCAGGTTACCTACCACCTAAGAAAAAGTGAGAAGCAACTTTTGCAGCCTAAAGCTGAAACATACGGCACCTGTGACTGTGCCTCTGTCTCAGGGCATCCTGGAAGGGAGCCGGGTGGTGACGGTGAGTTGTGTGTGCTCTCAGGCGACCCGGGGACCAGCGTGGCATCTGAGTCGGAGCAGCTGAGATTCATTCTGAAGCACAGACTCTGAGCGCTCCTCATCCGAGGGAGGGGAGTGTCCAGGTGAGGAGTAGCTTGGGAGCTGTTCCCCAGCCTAATTCCGCAATCTGCAGGGGTCTCAGCTGTAAGGCCATGCCTGCCTCCCGAGTATTCAGCAGGATGTGGACAGGCATGGCGTCCCTGCGGACCTCTGCCTCTTTTCCTCTGGCTGAAGGAACTCACCCACTTTCCTAGCATTTCAGACCCAACTGGGGGCCAGGCTACCCTGCCAGGTCATTGTAAGGCACCCACAAAGACGACACGGGTCACAGCCACTGCAGCAGACGCCTGCCTGGACCACTTATTCTAGCAAATAAAAGTCAAGGGCAAATAAGTGTACCAAGACCCATTTCCTAATTTCTTCCTCAATTAAATATAAAGATTGAGTTTAACAAAATATGTAACAAATAGGAAGAAAAGAGAAGGCCACGTCAACCCAAACAGGGCATTAACAGAAGTCCAGAAAAGAATTAGAGAGACATGCAAAAGCTAGATTTGTTTTCATAAAGAGAGACACAGACCCTTTTAGGGAAATGTATTTAAAAATTTATAAAGCGATCAAACATACACTCGTTGGAACAGTTCTATTCTCTCACGCATGCCTTTAGGAAAAGTGTTAGAGGTCAGGCCATCTGCCGTGTAGGAAAACAGCTGGGTAGGATAGTGAGGAAGCCACAAAATGGGGGAGAAACCCACCACAGCAACCTTTCTGCTTGAGGACACAACATAGGTGTGGGCAAGAGGAGGGCGAGGAAGCCCAGAGCGCCCGCAGCGCGCCCCCTGCTGGGCAGAAGGCAGGATGGTCGCAACCGCTGGCAGGAGCCCGGGCTCCAGAGGCCCTACAGCAAGCAGTCTCTTCCAGAGTGAAAGTTGGGGGAAGCAAGTATTTCCACTGGAGAGATTCCTTTCCCCCATTTTGTCTGCTATAGTTTGCTGTGAGTTGCTGTTGGAAGTTTTCTTGAGGGATTTTTTTTCAGCAGAGGAGTCAAAAATGCTGCAAAGATAATTTAAGGCATAAAAGAGCACAACCAAGCCATGAGCAGAAAGCTTGAAGTGTACAGATTCCAATTTAAATAGGAAGTAAACAGCAGGGACACTGACCCCTCTAAAAAAAACGTGTGTGAGGAAAGCAGGGGTAAAAAGGAAGTTCCAAGATATTCTGCTGGTCAGAGAGCGTGAAAGACGCACAGGTGTTGTGTTCAGAAGGTTACCGGTCTGGCTTCCCGGATTAAGGAGACACACACAAAGCAAGGAGCGAGTTAGTAGAGACGAGAGCAGCGCTGTTCCCGCGGCAGGAGGGGTTAGAAGGCGGCTGGTCCGCAGGCTCCGGGCGGAGAGCTGACCATTGCAGACGGTGCCGGCCGGAGGGCCAGGAGTTAGTAGGAGGAGAGCAGCGGCCACGGGGAGGTTTAGAAGAGCTGGCGGGACAGAGGCAGTGGGGCGGGCGGGCGCAGGCTGCCGGGCGTTCTTACCCCGTTGCTCTGGGTGGACTGCACGGACTGCTCGCTGGCCGAGGAGCACGTGCTCATGCGGTCCGTGTCCTTGCCGGGGGCCGTGTGGCGTTGTGCCTGCCGCTGGAGGGAGTCACTGTCCCCCGGGAAGGTGAAGGAGCCCGGCCGGCTGGCGGGGGATGCAGGGATGGAACTCCAGAAGGAGCCCCCCTTCTGCAGGGGGCTGCTGGGGGGAAAGGGCTCCTTGCCAATCGGAGAAGGGAACGCGGTGGCCACAGGCGAGTTCAGAGGCGAGACGGCCCCGGGCCTGGGCTTTCCTAGGGGCAGTGAGCCCAGGCTGCTCCTCGAGCGGCTGTCCTCCTGGTTGGCCCGTGCCTCCTTGGCGTCCGCATCGCGGCTGGCGCCGGCGGCACTCCCTGAGGACTTCCTGGGGCTCTCAATCACCTTCATCTTGGGGATGTGCTCGGAATCTTGCTGGGGGCCTTCAGGCTCTCCCGGAGCGTGCCTGCCGGGCTGGCCAGGGCCGGCCTCCGGGGCAGGGCTGCTGCCGGGAAGGGGCGGTGCAGGGCCGGGAGTGGACATACCTGACATCTTGTCTGCCTCTGCCTGGCTCGAGGCTGCAGAGGAGACCAGCACGGGGGAGTGGTGTCGGACAGGCTGGGGGATCCGGGAGGGTCTGCTCCTGCTCGAGCTGGGGAGGCCGCTGCAGCTGCCGGGGCCAGTGCTGGGGTTGCCGCCTCCGGCGCCTGGGGCCCCGCCGCCGCTGCTGCCCCCGCTGCTGCCCCCACCACCGCCACCCCCGCTCCCGCTGTGGTTCCTCTGATACTCGATGGGTGATGTCAAGGCTGTAAAGCAAGAGAGACACAGAGAAAAGATTGTCAGGGAACCAAGCAAAACATCCTCAGGGGCAAAGGAGAAAGGCACGGGATCTCACGGAAACGGTATTCTGGTCCTGAATGCCCCCTTCCCCAGGCAAGTGGGGGCTCATCCCCAAGCCTTCCAACCATGATGACCTTTAAGCTCCCACCCATGCTGGAAGCAGCGGACAGACACCATCCATCAGTAAAGGCAAAGGTCTTAAACGCCTCTCGTCTGTCGATGAACAGCTTACGTGTATGGGAGGTGCGCCTTTGTGAGTGGCTGCAGCCGAGAAGGCCGAGGAAGCACCAAGTGTGTGAGGACTAGCGTGGCGCTGACTGGGACAGCCTGGGAGCAGCGAGCAGAGTTCCTGCATCCCTGCCAAGTGGAGGAGGCCAGCTGCCTGTGTGGGAGAATCGCAGACGGCAGCGGCTCCCACAGAGTGGGAACATTCAGCCCAGCTGCCATAAAGGTCTTCTTTAAACCCGAGAGGTCAGGAAAAGAAGAACCCGGCTGGGAGCTGAGGAATCCCTTGGTTTCCCTGCAGGCTCGCAGGATGGCAGCGTTAGGGACACCTCTGCTTTGCAGATTTGGCACAAGAGACAAGGGATGGTAAAGAGCTCCACAGAGACCCCCGCGGGTCGTGGAGCTGTCCCATCTCCCCCTCCGGCAATTGAGTTTGTACGGCTTATCCGCAGGAAACTGAAGGGAACGTGCCGAATAAGATATGGGGAGATATGGGGCGCCTGGGTGGCTCAGTGGGTTAAGCCGCTGCCTTCGGCTCAGGTCATGATCTCAGAATCCTGGGATCGAGCCCCGCATCGGGCTCTCTGCTCAGCAGGGAGCCTGCTTCCTCCTCTCTCTCTGCCTGCCTCTCTGCCTGCTTGTGATCTCTCTCTGTCAAATAAATAAATAAAATCTTTAAAAAAAAAAAAAAAGATATGGGGAGGTATGAACACAAACTTTCGAAGCGTTAAAACCTCTGAGAAATAAAGCAATTAGGCAGAACCCCTTCCTGCCTGGGAGGCATCAGGCAGGTGGGAATAAGCATTTTGTAGCCCAGTGACATTTTACTAAGTCTGTCCTGGCCATGGCCTCTTACTGGAACAAGGGGCGAGAGGGAAGAGTGTCACATGTCCAGAGCTCCCAGGCCATTCCTGACGGTGCTCCATCCTCTGGAATCGGTCCTTCCCGTAGACTGAGGGCATCTAGTACAGTTTCGCAGCCTGCAATACTCTGGCTTCCAGTTTGGGAGGCAGTTCATTTTATTTTCAAGACATAAAAGTTGACCGAGCCCTCCCAACGCCCGCCTGCTATGGATGACCATGCAACGCGTCACTGCAGCCTGCACTGGCTGTCATGGCACAACTTTTTCCTACATTCACAGGGATGGTCCCCGAACCCCCACGAGCCCCATGTAGCCAACCACAGGTGTAAAAATTGATCAGTCTTGCTTAACTACCAGGCAGCTGGCCGCGCCTTGTCCCAACCTGCCTTGCCCTTGATTTTGCAGTGAATGCCTGTGTTTGTGACTCTTGAACATCATGCAGGTGTGAAGGTGGTTTTAGGGTGACAAAGAAATGACAACATCCTGTTGGACTGGGGCACAGACAGAGAACACGGACATGGAGAAAAGGGACAAAGAGAAGGCATTAAATGAGTTATCTAGTTTCCGGCCAAATTCTCAGAGCTCATCAGTGATGGCCCAGTTAGATGCAGAGTCAGAGTCGGCCATCAACAAGGGAAGCAGGAGGCAGTTGCAGGTCACCCACAGAACGAGTCAGAGGAGTTATCTAAACCGTAAGGTCAGTACGGTCACCCTCCTACAGAGAAAACACAGCCCCTAAGGTGCTTTGCAGCTTCCTGTCATCACGCATGTCGTGGAAGCTGGGAAGGAAAACTACAGGTCTTGTTTTCTAACGGGAGGTGGGAGGTATGAAAAAGCAATGCAAGCAAAAGCAAGTTTCAGAGGTGCACTGGAGAAGGTCTACAATATCCGTGTCTACTTCTGTCTGCTGCCTCAGTCTTTCTCAAGCACTCCCTTCCCAGGACAGGGCTCCAGGGCACATATGGTGCGAGAGGCCGTGTGGACACGTGCCTGACACGTGCCCAGGGCAAGGGCCTGCTGGGAACCTTGACTCTGCCACAAAAAATTTGTGGGACTTTAAGTAACTTACTGACCTAGCCAGTGCCTCAGCTTCCTCATCTGTAAAATGGGCTAACAACCGGTACTTGCCACCAGGGGTCGTTGTGAAAAGGAACTGAAGTAACACACAAGTGCTTATTAGGACAGAGCCTGAAACACAGTCTGGGCTAACTCTGTCTGGTCATCATGAGCAGGACGCAGCAGGAGAGAGAAGAGAAACAGAAATGTGTACCTCCAACAAAACACCCACCCAGTAACAAAACATACATTACCATTTAAAAAATTGCGCTGGTTTTCTAAAATTTGGTTGATTTCATGGATCCAAGTTTGCCGGACACTTGGACTGGATGAATGTAAAATGAAGGTCTCCACCACACCACCCGTCCTCGATGTCAGAGCAAATTTACACGGATCGTTTTCCACATTTTCCTCCAGGCAAAGGCAACTCACCTTAAAAAGAGTAAAGCATTATTCATAATGGCCAAAAGGTGAACGTAACACAAGTGTGCGTTGATTGATTGATGGATAAAGAAAATGTGGTCTCTGGAATGAGGGAAGGGGTATTACTCAGCCTTAAAAAGGAAGCACAGGCTGACATATGCTACAGCGTGGATGAACCTTGAGGATGTCATGCTTTGTGAAATAAGCCAGTCCCAGGAAGACAAATAGTGTTAGGATTTCTTATAGATGAAATAAGACTTTGAGGGGTCAAAGTCACAGAACCAGAGAGTGGAACAGTGGGTGCCAGGGGCTGGTGGGAGGGCGAATGGGGAGTGGTTGTTTCAAGAGCACAGAATTTTGGTTTTGCAGGTAAGGAGAGTTCGGAGGTGGATGAGGGGATGGCTGCACAGCAGTGTGAATGTGTGTAATGCCACCGAGCTGCACACGGACAGATGGTTGAGATGGCGAATTTATGCGTATTTTACTATAATAAAAACAAAGCACATTTATTCCCACTGGTCAGGTGCAATGATGTAAAGTTCATCCTATGTCAAAGTTGAAACAACCAGTTTTGGGTTGAGCTGTCATTTTTACTGCCTGGGAAATCATCATCTTGAAGCTTTTCAATGACTTTTCAAACTCAGAGACGAGGGGATTAACTAATAATGTGAATATTAACTAGAAACATGGGCCTGGAAATTACCTGATTTCAAATGCATTTATGATGAGCCAGTTTGTGTATCCCTTCCTTCTCTGCCCCAGGAATAAAATGACACTATTTAAAAACCTTGACTATTCATAGGACATGTGTTATGAAGTTATAGGTGATACTGCACGTGGGATAGTTTCACTGAAGCAAGAACATAGAATTTCTAAGCTGCTGGAGTGGAGCGGAGAAGTCAGGAGCCTTTTGGAAGAACAGGTAAGATGTCCAGAGGATGGAGGGTGCATAGTGACAACCTGGGGGGAGGGCTGGAGGATGGTGGGAGATAGAATAGGCCCGAAGGTTCGTAGAGCCCAGCTTGAGTGCCTCCCTAGGTTCTGATGGGCAAAAGAGCCTCCTGTAGCCCAGAGCAGGAAAAAGTAGGAAGGCTGCTGTAGGGGCCAATGGAAGCCTCATGGGGAGCGGGATGGTGTGGTGTCCCACCTGTGTGCTGAGACCTTAGGGCTCAGAGGGCCTAAGAGGGTCCCTGCCCCTGTTCCTGACAGGGAGCCTAGCAGCCCAGGGTAGGAGGCCCTAACACAGGGAAGCAGGTCTCCCTTCTCAGCTCAGGGCCTGCATTGCTGCAGAGGTGGGAGGAGCAGGAATGGAGATGGGAGCAGGGAGGGGAGGAAGACAGACTGCATCTCCCAGGGACTGTTTGCTGGGACCTCAAGCCCCCTTCTCTGCTTTTTTTCTATCTGGCCCTTGGTTTGTCCCATTTATAGGACTCCAGGCCATCTGCAATTATTTTGTCTGGTTACTTGTGTCTCTCCTTCATCAGAGAACTAACTATTCGAGGGTGTGGACTGCCTGTCTGGTTTACCCCTGCGGCCCCATGCCGAGCACTGAGCGCTCAGTGTGTCTGCATTGAGTGGAGGAGAATAAGACGACACTGGGAAAGCTTTCTGCTTTGGCCTTACAACAGTACTCCAAATCTGTGTCTCTGAACATTGTACATGGTTCTAGGAAAGGGGTACATAGGAACTAACCAAGACAAAGTCTTCTCGTCCTGGTCACACAGAGATGTGTGTGAACCATGAGCCACTTCAGAATGTGGACAGTACAGGGATGGTGTGAACTTTTAAAAGTGCTAAAACGTTTTAGGAAAATTTTAAAATATTCAATAAACAAAAGATCAGGACAGATCATCACTGAAAAGGAAACAGTTTATCAGTATGACGGCTATGTGTATCAGCACAATTACACATTACCTTGATGCTATTCTTAAACAGGAATCCTGGCATCGAGAAGCCCTTTTTTTTATCAAGTGGTTCACTGAAAATGACGATCTGCTCAAAGAGGAAAACTCGCCTCTCTTTACAGCGAGGCAGAAGTCCCGAGTCTTGGTCTGTGACCAAGAATGTGTCCTGTAAGAGCAGCTTGCCCTGGGCAACAATTTTACCCTAAAAGGGGGGGCAAAGGAAAAGGAGAGAACATTTCATTCTAAGTCAAAGTATCTTTTGTTCTGTTTTTTTTGTTGTTGTTGTTCCCACAAAATGTGTTTTTCTTCTATTAATTTATAGAGCTTAAAAATTTCATTTATTGTAATGAGTTCTTAGCCCCAGATGGAGTAATCATCTAGATAAAATTCTTGCCAAACTCTGTGTAAGTCTCTGGCCTCAGTTACGAACAAAGACAGAGTGGGTGGAAAGTGTATAGTTTGCACTGGAACGGGTTCTCGAGGCACAGTCCCTGGGCCCAGCTGCACTGGCATCCTGGCAGGACCTTAGTAATGCACAGGGACCTGTGTTTTCAGAAGCCCTCCAGGAGAGTCTGTGTGTGCTTTCCTGAGAACCACGGCACCAGAACTTTATATCCTAAATCTCTAGTAAAACAGTAGGCAAGAAAAGCAGAAATGTGTCCCCTTTCCTTACTTAGTAGTTGAATTTGTGAAAATTCTGAGTATCTTTAAGATACTAATAAGGCAATATATGTAATATCAATAGTCTGGCAACTCATAGAAACGTCAGACTAACAATGCATACAATGAGCCTGAAGTCAAGCTCCCAGGGAGAGTGGAGGGGCAGGGGTCCCCTGCTTCCCACTACCTGCCAGGGAAGGCACCTGCCACTACAGCAGCGGAGGGCCCACGAGACAGAGCAGGTCCTGCCTATTTCCGCCATCAGGCGCTGGGTTGTGAGCAAAGGAAGGTCGTCAAATAACAAATCAAATACACTAAAAGAAGTTGAAAGAAAAGATCAATCAGGTTCAAGAACAGTTAGAGGAGACAGAAAACCAGGTAGAAAAGATCAGCTTTCTACATGTGGAGGTAAATAATGGAAGACCAAAGAAAACGAGGGAGGCTGGAGGAACAAGCGCAGGGGGCAGCCGCATTACATCAAACCCTTGCAGACGCCCCACATTCATCATGTCGTTGCAGCGCTTGGGGACTATGCACATGACGTCCACGGCTCTCTGCGGGGGGAGAAAGCAGACGCACCGGTCAGCTCCCTCGGGACAGCTGGCGTGTCCACCCTCCGCCCCACCCCGAGTCGGGCTCCCTCCTTCCTCCCCCACCCCAGGGTGCGGAGGGCACATCCAGGTGGAGGACAGACCCCTCCTAGGGACAGGCTCCTCCGGGGTAAGATGCTTGGGAGACACTGGAGACAGGGGTGGGGAGGATTAAGTGAGGGGCCTGGGGAGCACAGGGTGGGCCCAGCAGGGGAAGTAAGTACCTCTAATTCTGACGTGTCCAGGCTCGCTTTTTTGGAATACTTGAGGAAGTCCTGCAAGGAGCACAGAGAGAAGGACAAGATAAGGGCAACAATCGCAACAACAGCCACTAAGCTTTTCGCTTGTTCCTGCTGTGCCAGGCGCCAGGCTAAGCGTCTCGGTTGTATGTTCTCGCTGCTTCTCCCAGTAACACGACGCAAAGACACTCTTAGGAGGATTTTGAGCCACAGCAGGGTAGAGTCAACCAAATCTAAGCAGGTACCGGCTCCTCTTTTACTCCACGACGGCTCTGGGCTCCATGGATACCTGGCTTCTAAGTGTGATAACTCAAGGACTCTCCACATATTACAACACTCACTTTCGTCATGGAAAACTGTGTGGCTTTGCCTTTAATTGCATTGACAAATTTAAACCAACCAAGGGCTTCTGAGCTCTGTCAGAGCCAACAGAAAGCAAGAGGCGGGACTGAAATTTTAATTTTACCCAGGACCCCAGGAAGATCAGAAAACTTGAAAGGCCAAGAAAGCCAAGGAAAACCATTAGCATTCAACGATCTGTGATGGTGAAAAAAGTTCACTTCAAGTGACGTTTTGATTCAGAACTTGATGTAAATAAAAAATCGAGGAAATAGTATAAGGTGCTTTATTAGACTTGAAGAAATTTACTCTGAAATATTTAAAATTAGGAATCACAAGACCACTTTAGATTTTTTTATAGGAAAGATTCCCCTCCCCTGCCCAACCCTTCCTTCTCCTCACCAGTCCGGTCCCCTCACCAAACCAACTGCCGACCCCAGAGTCTGCAGCCAAGTGTGCCCCATGCAAAGCCTCACCTTCAGGAGCAGCTGGTACTTCATGATCCTCTGCACTGGTTTGATTAACAGATCTGTGAGCTGCAGCCTGTGGCCCAGGCGCTGCTTTAAGTCCTGTGGTTTTAAAGAAGAAAAGAAAGACGTGTAAGTGCTGCCTTTCAGAGGACAACTGTTGAATCCCTGCATGGGTCAGAAACGCTAACTACCCAGCAGGAAAGGCAGGAAAGGTGTGGGGTGGGGTCAGGGGCCTCGCTGCACAAAATCCAGTCCGGGTGCCACCAGTTTGCAGAATGGCCTCTTCCAACCTTTCAGGGCAGTTTTCAAAATAGTCTCTTTTTGCTTATTTAAAGACCTTCTTTCACTTGGTCTCTTTTATTCATATAAACACATGCTTTATTTTTAGGCTGAGAGTTTAGATCATGAGTTGTTGTGAATCTGTAAAGAGCCTTACGTTCAAAATTGCTTAAAAAAAAAACCCTTATTTTAACAATGACCCCAGTCTTCTGAAGGTTAATGGATACACAATCAGACTAAATTCATACTCATTTCTCTAATTTATAGAAAAGGATTACTTAGTTCCTAGGAAAAATGATTATTTTAGGTTTGGGACATCAACCGTACACAGAAGATACAGAAATATTTGTTTCTTTCTTGGGTCTTACCTCAAAAAAGGTATCAATGTATTCTGAGACAATGTGCTCAGACTTTGGTTTATTTTGACAATAAACTATGTACATGTGCAACCTTCTCTCCTAGGAACGAAAAAGGCAAACAGATGGGTTAAAACAATCGGAAGTTCAATTAGAATATAAGAGCACACGCACATTTCAGCACATACATCAAGGAAATTTTCTTAAAACAAAACTGTGGTTTAGGCCTGTGGGAGTACATTCCAGATGCATGACTAGGCCAGCATTCTGCTTTGTGGCTCCAAAGGCCATCTTTCCTCTTGGCACCCTCAGGTATTTCAAACCCCTTGCCTCACCCGGCAATACAGGGGCAACAAGAGGACATGGTTCTTCATGTTAAAAGGAGAATTACTGCCACCCATCCAAATGGCCCAGGGCTCTAGGACGCCTCGTTGACTTTAGCAGGGAAGAAAAAGCTCTTTTACTTCGGATACTGAAGGCGGGGAAAACGTACACACTGAGCCCTCCCTTAATCCGATGATCCTCAAAGTGTGGTGTGCCCACCCCTAGGGGTCCCTGTGGCCTTTCAGGGAATCCAGTGGGTCAAAATTATTTTCAGACTAATATTAAGGTAAAATCTGCCCCTGTCTTTGTGCTACCATCTCAATGATGTGCAAAACCAGCCAGCACCTGACAAATATTCACGACAGCACATTTGCAGAAGACTGCCAGTTCCACCTCAGAATGTTCTGGCTGCAGCCATAAAAATCCATTTAATTAAAACTCAACCATGGACTATACATCTTTTTAACATTCTTAAGACAAAAGAGAGGTCCACATAACACTTATGTGGCATACGATAGTTGTCTCAAGCAGAAGCACTTGTGACACCGAGCTGTGGGCCGCCATTTTTATTGAAAGGAGGAGGGACACAAACTATATTTATTTATACTTGGGTCTCTGACAGTCATCTTCTTGAACACGAACAAAAGAAGCCTGTTGTTTTCAAGGCAAACCAGCAGTACTGTTGATAATGAAACTCTGAGTTTTCAAGTTTAAGACGAGAATTTTGGAAAACATGGTATCTGCCACTGTGAACTTAACACCTAAAGACTGGTCTAGAGAGAGGGTTGGTGACATCAACAAATCTGACTTTTTGATACCGTGTAACAAAATGTCTCCGTATCTGGAAGCTCTAAATTGTTGAACCAGTATTTTCCAACTGACCAAGGCACAAGTGCACAAGCTAGTGCATGAGTGGAAGCCTGCCTGTGGGAGGCGCTTCCAGTGAAATAGGAAGGCAGAAGTCCACCATAGAGCTTTCCAGATTCCCTGTGGCAGCTAACCTTTAAGATACTATTACGTGGTAGAGTTCCGGTGTAGCATCTCAGAAAACTGCCCATAATTATTACCTGAAAAGAGTATTAAAATACTTGTTTCTTTCTGACTCTCTGCTTTATGAGGATGGATTTTTTTCCATGTATTTTTAACCAAAAAACCATTCCCCAACAGAATGAATGCAGAAGCCGATATAAAAATCCATCTGTCTTCTATTAAGGCAGACATTAAAGAGATTTGCAAAAACGCAAAAACTTGTATCACTAGCTTTTTATAAATGCAGGAATTTTTCCTTAAAAAACCCCATTAATGCTAACACACTTATTTCAGATACACATATATATTTAGCTACTATGTTAAACCCAAACCTAAACCTAAACTGTACGTTTAGGTACATCACTATCGTCACTAAACAACTGTTTGGCCACATATATCCCCAAATGCTCCTGCTTCAAGTCTGCCTCTGGTCCCCCTTCGGACCACTCTGCACTGCGCTGAGCTGCACAGCCAGCTGGGGCTAGGTGACTGAGAAAGCACGTCATTTGTGTGCAAGAGTGGGGCTTAACTCCAATTTGCTGACACTACACAGTTTGATTTGATTCTTAACACAAGCACTTTTGTAAACAACCAGTAAGTTCTCCTTTAATCTGAAAAACCAGTCACTGAACACGATGATATCAGAAGAGAATACAAATAAATAATGTTATTGTACTGACATGTTTAACAAAAAGGGATCCTAGTTTTTCCGGATCTTCAAGGCACTTCTCCAGCTCTCCTAAAAAAAAGCTGGAACAAGAAGAGAAATATTAGAGCCATTTCCAACTCGGCCTTCTGATTTTAGTCAAAATAGTCTGTTGTAACATGAACAATTGGGAAATGTCAAGTATATACTTAAGAAATCGAATGTGCCCAGAAAACATTTTGTTAGGGCAGGAACCAAGAGAGATGTACAGGTGAAAAAAGGCAAAATGAGACGATCCTTTGACCAACGACCTTTCCTTCTCTTAGACAATCAACATGTTTTGTCTCACTTTTCTTAAGGACACAAGCAATAACATATCATGGCTTAATACAGAGAAAAAAAGTTTCAACACAATTGGTCATTTTTATTTCTGAATACTTGAGTTTCATATATTTTTATAGTCACTTTTAGGATGCTCAAATTGAATAATCGATACAAAATACCGAATATGTTACCTCTGCCACTTTTATAACATTTTCCCAAATATCATCCAAAGTAACCTCTCGGTTATATATAGCAGCTCCCATTAGAGACAGAAATCGGGTATGACCGCAGCAACACAAGGGCTGCGGACAAGCACTCTAGCACTTCTGGGCTGCAGTCTCGAAGACACGTGCCCCCCTTAGTTAGTACTCACCCACATTGACATTTATGTCTGGTATTTTATTAACCCACAAACCAACATATCTATTAAGGCCATGTTGAATTTTCTAGCACTTGGGGTTTGATTACAGCTGTGCACACGCTGTGCGGCCCTATCTTCAGGGGCAACTTCTCTGTCTGGTCGTCCCAGGAGCACTGTGCTGTTCCCTCTTTCCCATCACGGCTTCGCAGCCAGACTCGGAGGCGGCAGAATACAGAGGAGCACCAAATATTCCCTTTCTAAAATCAGGTTCACTGTAGGTTCTTGGGAAGTCTATCGTCAATAGAGCGATCAGTTATGCTGTGACTGCAAGTGGCCACTCACTTACCTGTGAGTCAACTGAATTAGACATTAGGGGGATATGAAAATGATGACCCTGTATCCGGGTTCAAGGGTTTTACATTCTTTAAGAACAGATGAATTTAGAAATAATGAAACACTACTATACACACACTCTGATAACTCCTCCTAACGGCACAGTATTTTAGTTTCAAAAGCACATTTATGTATGCTATGTGCAAGGAGAACAGAGCACGTCTGCTTGGAGTGATGAGGTCTAATGGAGAGTGATAATTTGACCTGGGCTTTGAAGGAGGATGGGAGCCCTCTCCAGGCCAAGGGGACAGTGATACACATGAAGACAGTAAAGCAGGTGGCCTGTGCAGGTCATGGGAACCCATCAGGGCTGCTGGAATAGTCCATAACCATATCAGTGGCTGGCATTAAGCAGTCTGCAGATGATTAGTCTTTTAAATTCACAGTAAGGTGACCTGAAGGGGCCTATGTGCTGTAGCACCAGCCTCCATGTGAATCTCCTTAGCAGGATGGGTATGACAAGGTGCTGGGGTCCAATGTTTTGGGCGCAGTCATGTCTGATTTTTCCATTACAATTGTTAGAAAAAATAGTATCTTTAAAACTCTCTAACAGTAATTTGCATTTATTCAAGAGGTGGCTGCGTTCTAATTAGAAACATTTACTGACACTTACTCTACAGAGACAGTGTTCTAAGTGCTTTGCATGTATTAACTCAGTCTCTCTTCATGAAAAACCCCATGAGGGGGGGTAAGACTCTGACCCACATTGTGTAGGTGGAGAATGGAGGCCGGGAGAAGGGAAGCAAGTGGTTTAAGGCCAGGACTGGGCTCTGAACCCAGGCGGTCAGGCTTGGTGATGGTGCTTCCAGCCATCCCCACGGGCACTCCCTGGATGCACCAGCAAGCAGAACAGACTCTTCCCCCCTGCCATGACATGCTACCACAAAACTCCTTGGCACATCACTATTTCTTCTTGTCTTTTTTTTTTTTTAAGATTTACTTATTCATTTTAGAGAGTGTGCACCAGCAGGGGGAGGAGCAGAAGGAGAGAGAATTTCAAGCAGACTGCACGGAGCATGAAGCCTGATGCAGGGCTCAAGCCCAGGACCCTGAGATCATGACCTGAGCTGAAATCGAGAGTTGGATGCTTAATCGCCTGAGCCACCCAGGTGCCCTTATCAGTACTTCCTCTGTACCAGCTGCCTCTGGGAGGCCACACAGGTAATAAAAGGAAGGACACGAACCAATGCACATCCTTTCCCATTTGCCTGCCACAAGGCAGTTTAGCAAGTGGTGATGCTGTGTACACCATCACACATGGCAAGTGTCTTACGTACTCTCTGTGCCAGTCATAAATCTGATGGATGTTGCCAAATACAATCTTGTCCTTTCCTTTCATGTCATCAGGAACGCCATCTTCTTTCATAAGAGCCATGTAGCCCTAGAATTGAATATTTAAAAATAAAAATAACTTTGCTTCACTGAACATATCTTGATCAAGTCATGACTTATGGACTAACCGTCATAAAGTAAAAAACAGACATACACAACTGTCTCAAAACCCAGTATTTCTTTAAAAACAAACAAAAGCTATGCAGGAAAAAGTCCTGCCTGGCACTTGAAATGTCCCACCATACACACTGCCATGACTTTCTCTCCTTGGACTGTGTGGCATTCATAGATCCAAAGTCTTCTAAGGAACTGAAGACATTTAAACATAAATGGTTTCATAAAACAAATCACCTTATCAGCTTGTAAACATTAAATATTTGGCCAGAAATATATTTTCTCTGTTCTTAGCACAATATAAACAGAACTCCTTTTCTTTTTGGATTATTTACATAATTTGTTAAATAAGAATTTAACAGTATTCTTTCCATAAGTGGATTTTTAAATAACACTTGATTAAGTATGCTGCTAAAATGTCATTTCAGCCTCTCGAGTGGGATTCAGCCTATACACACTTAAGTAAGAGTAAGAATTACTCTTAAGTAATTCAAGTGACTTATACCGCAGATACAACGAGCATGCTAAATCTTTTGCTGCACACTTAACTGTGAACGCTGTTACTTTTAATGGAATGAACATCCCCAAAGTACGGTCTTAAATAAATTTATGAAACCAAAGAAGTGGTAAAACTGTATACCATAAAAATCGCTTTTTGATGGGTTGAGTTTATAAATAAGATTACACCCTGGACCTGAATGACCGGGTTAAGTGGTGCTTCTCACAAAGCATCACTTGATGCCTTGAAGTTGTGTGGAAGGCCATGGTTTTGTTACAGCTACACCATGCGTAGCAATTTCTGGGCCATGAATGTGGTGATGTATTTGTTCTGGGGAAAGCATAAGCAGACGGCCTACTGTAGCCACAGGCCAGCTCTGAACCCCGGTGGACTCAGGATGGAACTGATGCCACAGCTAGTCACACTGGACTTCTTCAACCAACGCCGTTCTCAATTCTGCGATGATACCCGTGTTTGTAAATAACCAAAACCAAGATTCCCATGTCATAAATACAATGGCTGGATATAATTTAAAAACTTAATTGTAAAAAAAAGTAATTATGTCAAAGATACACTATGTGAAAAAGAAACATTTAAAAGTGAATACAGATGAAGGTGATTGGCTAAATTTCATTTTCCTGAAACTTGGGTTTTCTTTTCGGGAAAGGATGTCAAAATGTTTTTAAAGCTTTTGAGAAGGTATCAGTGTTAAACTGTCAAACATGATACTCCCTTGACAACTCTTAGGGCTGATGCAGGTTATCAAATCTCTGAAAACATACCTCAACCACATAGCCGAGGTCCCGCACATAGTCACGCTCTGTCTCCACCAGTTCTTGCAAAACATAGCTGGAAAGAGAGAAAAACGAGTGTTTACAATCCAAACTCTTCTCATTTCCTGAACGAGTTCTTCAGCACTTTGCTTTTGTCAGGTGAGACTCCCACTGGGACTGTCCTGTAATCTATCAAACTTGCACAACTGGGTCTCCAATTCTTGAATGTCCCAAATCACTTACAGGTTCATGTACGTAACCCCCAAGAGCTGGGGACTCTGATCACATATATGGACAATCAAGAGAGACTTAGACGTGATTTTTCCAAATAAAGGCACAACATTAAAGGAAGGAAGTTTGTTTTGTTCTGTTTTTAAATGATTACATCATTTTAAGCTGCACTGGACCTACAAGAAAAAACTTTAACTCAGATGTTTAACGCTTTGGGTCTGATCACTGAGCCAAAAGTGTGAGCCTGAAGGTTCATAACTGTTTGCAAGGCCTTTCTGATAAGATAAGAAAATTAGTTGATCAAAAGAGCATAGCACCTCAGCTGGCCTGGAAAAGTCTGTTCGTCTGCTCATCATTCATTCAGCCCCCACAGGCTGGGCCTCTCCCGAGAGCGGCCATCATTCTCGGATCCAGAGTGCACCGGAAAACCGAGTCTCTGCCCTCACACAAGAATTTCCTCTTCTCTGAAGGCAAGGTTAAAATCTTTTGTAGTATTTCTCAGGATTCTCCTTTTCACCATAAGCAGCTTTACTGGAACTGAGAAACACTATCACTAAGGTTATGTTAAAAAAATATTCAAGGTTCAGGACTCGATCTGATTTTATGTTGCTTTCTTTCCTTCACAGGTCGTATGTAATATAAAGCACAGAAGTTTCTCACTAGACGTGACAGAAGAAATTCTTGTATCATTCTTATTTATAACGTGACAGAAGAAATTCTTGTATCATTCTTATTTATAAACAAAGTACAACATACAAATACCAAAAACTGCAGCTACGGGGGAGGGGGGGGAGGCGCCTGACTGGCTCGTCAGTAGAGCAGGCCCTCTTGATCTTGGAGTTGTGAGTTCGAGCCCCATGTTTGGTGTAGAGCTTACTCAAACAAATAACACAACATAAACATAATATAACATAAATAAAATAAGTGATTTCCAACCTCTTAAAAAGGAAAACCCTGCAGCTATGACTTCCTGCACCCTTATGAGGCTCTGAGAGATTCTCAAAGACCAATACAACTACTCCAGGAGCGACCCTGGAGCTCCCCGTCGCATTGATCCAGAGACAGGTCGCTGTTACATGTGTGAAGGTGACAGAGACAGGAGGAAATCTGACCAACGCAGACATGGAAACGTGTCTTACTGCCGTCTCTTTAGGGAGCTGGATTTTCTTTCTTCCATCTCATCAATGGGTGAGGAGGAGGACAGGAGGGAGTTGTCTGAAGGGTTGAAGGAGGGGCTGCTACTGTCTCCCTGGTCAACAAGGAGCGAGCTGGGACGATCCTCCAGTGCCTGAAAGAAAACCAGACCACCAGTCACGTTTCCTGCCTATGGTCCAGGAGGCTGGAGTTAGAATTAGGAAACCTTGTAAGTCAGAAAAGACAGAAGTCCTGATGCTAAAATCAGAAGATCTATGTTTGTGATATTACATGGTATTTCATAACAAAACCCCCGACTATTAACACAAATACTGAGCAAGAGAAGCTGGATAAATAAGGTAAGGCAAAAAGGACAGTCAAGTTACATGCATTAATAAATTCTATTCCTTTTCACCAGATAATTAGAAATAGCCCAACTTGTTGCCATCAGCGCACTCTGCCCCCATATCTGAGGTAACGGGCGTTCCACACGCAGCCCTTTCTCCGCAGTTATGAGGCGGCAGGACCATTGCAGAAGCGCGCAGAACCCCCTCCATCAGACCAGCCTACCCCAGGCGCATCAGCCGTGTCCCCAGCTGGTGGGCTGCGCAGCAGTGTGGGCCATCTCTATTTCAGTTTAGACAGCGTGGGGGCTGCTCTTGATTATCCGTGAAGCCTTGACTCTGCCTTCAGTGCACGCACATTGCCCAGCTGAATGGAGCTCTATCTCTGGACACGCACCACATCCTTGCTCTCTTCCATGGGAAGCAGTTGTCATGCTGCCTCAATGAGGTATCCCAAACTCCCTCTCCTCCACTGGAGTTTAGTTTCCACGAGTGACTGTCGTTAATGCTGTAGTCTGTGTAGAACCTTGAATGAAGCTTTGCAGGTGTTCAACACATCTAAGATGAACCTCGACTTCTGTCCCTGGACTACTGTGACAATGATGAGTGACTGCTTACTTTCTAGTTGGTACATATTAACTATGCTTTTTAACTGAATTCCCAAAGCTCCAACAGGTGTGGGTTATAATATTTTCGAAATTTCTAAAGCACCCAGCTGGATATACAGGATGGTCAAGAAGTATTTATCTAGACGGGAGCTGGGAAAACGTGATTAACTTGCCCTCCAACAAAAAGCTCAATCCAAACCGCAGGAACACTTCATATTCTGCATCAAATCAAAACTCCTAATGCTTGTCCCATTTTTTTCCCCTTAAGAGTAACAGACCAATGCTGACCTCGTCACTGAGCCCTGCCGTGAGGACACAAAGTCTATGCATGTAGTTTTGTTCACCAAACCCACAGAGCTGTGGAAACAAACTAACCGCTGCACTTATTTGGGACAAACAGGGAATAGCGTTCAATGAGAACAGAGCACTCTGTTTTTGAAATAATTAGCTATTGGCCTTTACTGGAAGCAAGCACTTTGCAGGAAGCCTCAGGCTTGCTCTGTGCTCATCGATCACGGAACTCCTCGAGGGGAGGCTGGAGTCTGGAGGTGGAGGGAAGGACTCTATGCACCGTCTCTGGTCTAGATTTGCGAGGAAATAGCTGCTGCTCGTTAGATTCAGTTCTGTTCATTTCGATGGTGATAAAAAAGACAGAAAATAGAGAAGATGTCTCCTGATGTCCCTTTACACAGTGCAGTGAGCAAGGAGGCCAAGCAGTGGACATGGTTGGTGTTAGTGAAGCCCTGGTGTTCGGCTGGCAGGATGGCTATCTGGATGGCCAAGGGTGGAGACGGGAGGCGTGGACCCCGCTGGGGAGCCAGTGAGGGCGAAGAAAGGCTTCCACCGGACAAGCCTTCGGAACCAGAATTCCTGGGACTTTGCAGATTCGGGTGAATTTCTTGTGAAGTCCCCTGGGTTTGGTGGTGTTCTGTGGGCAGGTTTTTGTCAACTTTATTCCCTGGATGAGGACACGTCTGCACAGATAATCCATCTCTTCTGAGGTTAGTTTTGGTAAGCTAACTCATTTGGTAAACTGCTCATTTCATCCAGGTTCTCCAATTTATTTTCAAAGACCTCAACAAAAAGTGTTACAGTGATTTTAATTTCCTTAGTTGGCCCCTCCCTTATAATTCTTGTTTTGTGAATTTGTGCCTCCCCTTCTATTTTCTTGAGGTTACCTTATGTTTATTACTTCTTCAAATAACAAATTTTGGTTTTATTTATTCCATTTTTCTATTTCTCAACTCATTATTTCTGTTGTTTTTCTAGTATCTTTAGATGTTTATTCATTTTTTACTCTTTCTTATGTCTCCCTTTATATTTAGATCAACGAAGAAAAGAAAACCCCAAAGTCAAGTGCAAATGGTCACAGTGGCTATGGGCTTCCACTGTTCAGGAAAGACGTACCATGTTTCCCACACCGCATGGATCCGGGATGTGGAGGTCAGGGAGAGGAGTGAAATAGTTTCCAGGGTGGTTTTATTTTTCGGATCGACTCTGCAGAATTTAGGGTTAGGAGGTTCAATTCCCCGAATATCATACTGTGTAACAGTTGAACAACTTCTTCCCAGGCCAGTAAGTTAGTATGTAGCTTCTGAAGGACAGCCAACTCAGCCAGAGAGGTCACCCACAAGAAAATGAATGTGGATGACCAGGGATCTACAGCGTATGGTAAACGTGCTGCAGTACGTGACCCTAGTTCACATGCATAGAACAGGTGAAAGGATATTAAAATGATTCAGAGTTTTCACAGACAAAAAGCAGTTCTCCTCTGACATCAGAGGATTAGTGACAGGAAATCAACACAGAGCAATGTTTCCCTTGAGCCAGAAAAAGAGGGCAGAATCTAGATTATATTCCATGGACAGTGAGAATGGGATAAGTCCATCATGAACAGCATAAACACGGTCCTCCAATGGGAAAGGCAAGCACTTGTGACTACCCACGTGGATGGAACCTGGCCAGGAGCTGAGGCAACAGTCCTTATGCTGAGTTTACAGCTGAAGGACATAGGCTCAGAGAGCCCAAGTGTAAGTAGCAGTGTTTGAACACGAGTGTATGCTCTTTCCGTGACGGCAAGAGCTTTGTTCCTGTTAACTGAAGGAGAAAACTGAGTAGAAAGAATTGAGTTTCAATTGGTAAAGTTTAATGCCTTGGAAATGACAGGAAGGAATGAAGCAGTAAGAGCTGAAAGAAACCACATCCTAGAGCTCCTCTCCATTTCAAGACCATGTGAATTAACGACAAATGAATCGCAGCCCACTTCAAATGGAATGCAGTTCAGACACAGAATGACAAGAAGGCTGACAAAGGCCACCTCATAACCTTGCTTGGGAAAACTATTCAATTATTAGAATGATTTTAATGATCATATAATTGAGGAGTATAAATGACTGTTTTTAAAATGCTTGAAAGCTCACAGGGTACAATTTGAGTACCCTTTGTTTAGACCATCAATCAAGCTGTCTCAAAGAGACTGCCGGGATGCAGTTTAGCTCAGTTCAAACTGAAAAGATCCTAAACTCTTAACCAGTAGAGTCAAGTTCTTGGGGTTTTCTACCAAGTACTTGCAACCTTCCTAACTTCCAAGCCCATCATGTCGCTTTCAGAACATGACTACCTGGGAAGAAATTCCAGTTATGGCACAGTGAAACAGTCTGAATTTTCCCTGATACAATTCCCACTTGACTGAATCAACCACAGTTTCATAGCAAATGTCAATTCCAGTCTGTTTCATGTGTCCAGGGTCAGTGACAGACAGGCTGACAGTTTTCTTGCTGTCTCTGATGGTTAGAATGATCAGATGATTAAAAAAAATCAGATGACTGATTAGAACCTACGGTAGAAGAAATGGGGATGATATAACATTACCCAGTTAATACCTAATGGAAGGAAGATAAATCTCCTTGAAAAAGTATATTCTTCGATCTGGCAATTCCAATGCTAGAAATTTACCCTACAGATCTAACCACACACACTTAACCAACATGGAGGTTTACCATAGTGTAAAGCTGAACACAACTTTACACACACACACGTATATATTATTATTATGAATTTGTTTAAATAAATTATATAGTATAATCAGGTCTCTGCCCCTTACTGGTTGGTTAAGTTTTTAAACTCTGTGGCTTCAGTTCTGTCATCTATAAGATAAAATGACAGTAATGTGTACTTACCTCAGTGGGCTCTTACTAAGTTAATACAGACACAGAATAGTGCCTGCTATAGAAGAATCCCTCAGTAGATTATCACTGCATCCACCCAATGGACTATAGTACAGATATTACAAAGAACGAAGTAAACCTTAAGTACTGATGTGAGAAACTCCTCAAGATTTATTAAGTCTTAGAATATTAAAAAACAGAATGAATCCTTTTTGAAAAACAGAGCATGGACAAGCACCCTCCCCCTCCCCATAAATGTTTGCACCCTGCAAAGAAAATGTCTCGAGGGAAACATACTGATCACAGTGGTTACCTCTGGAAGACGGACTGCTGGGAGAGGCTGAGGGCTTTTATTTTTGGAGGGGTGACTTAAAAGATGTTAAGTAATACACTGTAAATCCAAATGAAAGATCTCAGAGACAGTGAAAGGAACTATCAACCCATGTGTACCTGCCATTGACCATGGGCACACCTGCGGACCTGAGTGGAATTGACCACACCTGCTAAAATGCTGTCAGCTCTGCAGTCAATGTAGGTGCAAGAACGGATTCATCCTGGCTCCTGAAAGGTGCCTCTAACCCCTGGGATGTCCTGCCTGACGGGCCTGTCTATTTACCTAGGGGCCTTGGGCCACAACAGACAGTCCATGTCAATAGTGCCACTCTTGGTGGGGGCTCTGAGCCATGTGGTATCTGGATTTCTGGAGGCATAGGAGACAAAGCGGAGCCATGCTAGCAGTCAATCTTGTGTATGTGACTGAGCTCAAATAAAAATGCTGAACACCAAGGCTCAGTTAGTGTTCCCTGTTGGGCAGACTCTACATATGTGACATAAAATGATGTCACACATCATTGTCAGGAGAAGCCTGTGCTTTCCACAACCGGATACTTGACCCTGGAGCCTTCCTGCACCCTGCTCCACACACCTCTTCCCTGGCTGATTTTAATCTGTCCTTTGACAGTACAAACCACAACTCGGGCTATCACACCTTTTCTGAGTTCTAGGAGTCCTTCACGCAAATTCTTGAACCTGAGGGTGATGCTGGGTCCCCCCAAACATGCAGCTGGTCAGGAGTGAGGGTGGTCCTGGGGACTCCCCCTCGGTAGCCCTGGGGACTCCCCCTCGGTAGCCCTTGCAGGCACACTGTGCAGATGGGAGCATGACGTGAATGGGGGCACATCCATCCGCAAGCAGCCTCTACGGCAGCTTCCAAACCTCAGACTGTCTGTGGGGAGCCTTACCATCTTGCTTTTCACGAGTTCTTCAATTGCACTCACGAGCTCGGCTGCACTCGGAGTTTCGGAGCTGGTGGGGCGGACTAATAACCGAGAAGAGGCCTACAGAAGAAGTGAAGAGAAAGAGAAGGGGGAGGGGGAATGCCTCATGTTAGTAGCTGGACGGACAGCAAATTCTCCTGCAAGCTCAATCTCTTTTTCAAAGTAATTCCAGACAAAAAGACCACAAGTTTGTCTTTGTTTGCATTTATTTAAAGTCATCCTTTTAAATTTACAATATTCTGACACGAAATACTAAATAAAGCCTGTCTGGGATACATGTGGAAAGCAGACAAAGTCTGTTTTTCATCCTCGGTCATGTAACATCAGAATGCTTTTCAAAGAGGTGACTGGGTGTGGGAGGTTGCTAACTTTAACTTTTGCAACTGCCAGCTAGGAGAGTGGCTAAGCAGGGAAAAATATAGAATCTGATCAGTGTAAGAATGAAAGGCTGGGGGGTCTAATGAATGATCCTTAAATAATCAGGAAACCAAACAGAATAGTAAAAATGGCTCTCTTGTGTTTATGGGGTCAACAGAAAGAAACAAGAAAGAAAAGGAAAGGAACCGGGGGTGCACTGACCAGACAGGGAAGAGGGGGGACAAGCTCACCATTTTCTGTGCCATCCATTTCCCCAATGATTAGTGCAGAGTACAGAAGATCTGTGGCCTCACAAGCTATGAGATGCCATTTACGGCTAGAATCAGGGTGTACAGGGGTTGACAGGAAAGGAATTTGAGGGAGGGGCTGCTGAGTTCAAGTTTCAGTAATTAGCAAACACAGTGTGTTTGCAGATTACTTGTGCCATTGATTAACTGGAAACTAGAAGAGGGGCATAATATGAACCTTGCTTCATATTAAGGACAGCAGAGATGCATGCGACACACGGCTAGCTGTCCTAACGATGCATTTCTCACAGGAGACAGATACGGATTTATACATTCACAACAAGGCTTTTACATGTGTGGATCCAGATATGTGATTTGCAAAACAAATGTTGGTCTGGTCTAATGAAATCTGGAGTATGGGGTGAAGAAAACAAGAAAAAAATTCAAATGGAGAGGTAAGGAAACTGAGCCAAAACAGACACAGAACACAAATCAACGTAATGCTGCAGTGAAAGTTTACAAAAAGAGAAAACAGAACAAAACAAAATATTAGTCACAAGATAATAAACTCTCTGGGAATATCACTACAGATTTTTATAAATGAAGAACTGCTACTGATAATAGCCAATGAGGTAACATGATAACCAATAAATGACTTCAACGCACTGAAGTATACAGTGTAATACAGTCCTGAAATGGAGAAAAATACTCTTACTGGGGGAATAAGTCAACCAGGCCCCTCATCTCACATCAGCTAATCATCCAGATTTACGAAAATTTCAGTTTCCTGCTTTCGAGGAAGGTACAGCTTGGGATGCCACAAAACAGTTTAGGAATTGTCTGAGAAATGACACATTCCCCTTTCCTGGCAAGTCTGCTCTGTGCAGGGGGTGAGGCCCTCTGTCACCTCACCTCAGCTCCCAGAGCGGCTGGCCTGCACCTCACATGTCCCCAAACTCCAGTCTCCAACCCAAGCCACGTCCTGCAGCCAAGCCCCGTGGTGCTCTGACTGTGCACCCAGTGCCACCACGGGGGAGGAGGCGGGTTCCCAGGAGCTGGGAGGTGGCCACCCACGTTAAGACTAAGGTGTGGTTTGCCTCAGCCTCACAGCTGCCTATCACTGGGCCGGGGCAGAGTCCTAAAACACGGGTAATCCAGCAAGTGACCGTGTTAGCACTGAGGAAGGAGTCAGGGAAGGAAAAAAGAGGAAGAATGGGCAAAAATGATGAAAACACTGTTTTATTCAGAAAGCTTAGTTACTGCCCCCCAACCAAAACCCAAGGCACCCCTCTAGTGATGACTTCATAGCATGGTTTTCAGCACCTGGGCCAGAATGCAGGAGAATGTGCAAGCCAGCTACCAGGTTTCTTTTGGACAGTTTAGAGCTCTGCAACGGGGATGTGCAGAATAGTTTTAGATCAGGTAAGAACTAAACAAAAACCCAAGCCTGGTTTGAAGCCTCCACATGCACCCAAAGAGGAGATTTACGGTTTTGAACTGATCCCTACACCTTGACACCTATCCCCACATCCCAGCTGATCTGAAACGTTAACATCAGGCATGCTGGACAGAGGGACTAGATAGCAGTACTGTCCCATCCGAAAATAATGCTCGTGTGCAAAAACACCCTGAAGGGAGAGCAGGATGGCCTAACGTTCACGTAGGGATCCATCACCAAGACTGCGCATGACTTCTCGGACTCCTCTCTCAGGGACCCCGGGTGGTGCAGTAAACGGAAAATACAGTTACTTTCAAAGTAACAGTTACTAAAGCATTATTAAAAATGCTTTCAAGTACCTGTGTGAGAAACTACATATGTCGGCCCACTGCCTGGTCTAAATCAACTTTGTTCTTCATACTTTTGGGGAGAAAATGGGCAGCACATTTTCCAGGTGCTTGTTCACAGCCCCAGAGCTGCCAGCTGCAGCAATGAGGCTAGGGTGCAGTGACATGTGCCCCTCACCTTGTCGTCCTGCGAATCCGGCTGGAGTAGGCTATGCTGCTGGATGGCCATGGGCGGTGGGAGAGGCACAGCGTCGGCCCCCTCCTCCCCTTCTTCTTCTCCGCAGCTCTGCATGCCCGACGATGAAGACTTTGAGAGCGTGCCACTGCTCAGGCCCTCATTCCGGCCTCTCTGAAATCAAACCAACGTTTGCTCATTATATTCCAGGCCCAACTGCAAAGGTCAGCTGACAGAAACGAACCCTAAAGGGGTTAACTGGGAAAGTACAGCTGGGACAGGACAGAGATGCCAGATCAAACGCAAACTCTTTCCACCCTGATAGTAACTGCTCATTCCCTTCCTGCAAGCCAGCTACCTCGCCTGCCGACTTGGATAATGGAAGGGCCGCCGCATGCGTCTTCTGACGGGACCTGCCAACATGACCCATTAGGCTTTGAACACCTCTCATCTTCAACCCCCAACCCCCCACCCCAGATGAGTTTAAAACTCTCAACCACTAGTAACTTTCATGTCAATTCAGTTCCTTTGGTCTACTTTCATTTTTGGTAACTTGCTAGAATAAAATTCACTGAAATTAAAATGGCATAAGGAATAAAACTAAATGCATTGGGAGAATCTGAATTTAGTCTCACCTCAATTTTCCTCTGCTTTCATTTTAGAAAAATTGTCTGTTTTATTTCTACTAAGAGGACACAGATGTAGAAAACAGACAGATGAGAACATAATAAACCATATACTCTAGTGAAAACCCAGGGCAAAATAGGCCCAGGAAAAAAGCAGTAGAAAATGCATGTCTCCAAAAAAAAAATTAAAGGACACATATCTTATCCATTCTGTTTTTTCTTTTTGAGGGAGCTCGGCAGGCGGGGCTGGGTGTGATCTCAGTTAAAAACTCTAAGGGTCCCTCACGGACACCGCCAGCCGGATAGAACCAGCCTGGGGATCATGAAGGGATTCTGTTCCTTCAGTATGTTTAAAGCTCCCCACCCCAGACAAAAAGGAAATTAAAACAATTCCTGGCTGACCAATAGACATTCATCTGGAATGACATGGAAATAATCCAGTGTTTACTGGTTAGCGAACTAAATTCACTGGGTGTTTTCTACTGGGGACAGATGTTAAGTATGACCCTGGGGGAGGAGGGAAGCGCACACACTCCTCCTGGCATTCCATGTCTCAAGTGGGTGCTTCCCCACACAGTGCTGCCCCTGGGGTTTAGGGGCTGCTTAGACCTTCTGCAGCACCCAAGGGCGCCTCCTGGCTTGTCTGTGGTGCGCGGACAGAAGGACCACGGCAGCAGTGTCCCCTTCCTCCTGGAGCAGGCCTGGGGGTGCCCATACCTGGGCGGGGGGAGAGGGGGGAAGAGGGTCACTGTCCTCTTGAGTTCTTTCTCAGAAGCCACCACGGGTCCCGACCGTGTTAAGGCAGAGTTGCTACCGGGACAGCTCGTCCCCACCGAATCCAAGTTTGCTAACAAGGGATTTAAGGAGCAGCCAGGCCCAGGGGCCCAGGGAGACACAACCCTTCCTACGACTTCAGGAGCAACCCCGGTGGGTGGCCCTGCCCGGTGAGCGGGCTCAAGCCTGGCAGGGCTCTGACCTCTTCCACGGTCTCGTCCTGCGGGGTGGCCGCGCTGTCGTCCGAGTCCTTCTGCGAGCCGGCGTCGGCGCTCTTGCGGACCTCCCTGCTCTTCTTGTGCTTGTGCGCCAGCTTCTTCACGTGCCCGTCGGCCTTGCCGCTGCTCAGCCGCCGCACCGGGCTCGTCAGCCACTTGCGCAGCGTGTTTCCCGGCCGTTTGGGGCCCGGGGAGCTCTGGGCCCCCATCATGTGGGGCTGGAGAGAAGCCACGGACGCCGGCGGGCTGGCATCGTTACTGGAGACGGACAACGAGTCTGAAGGACAAGAGAGACATGGCAGGTTTGACAGAACCGCCCGCAAGGAAATGCCCCCCCCCCCCCCCCCCCCCCCCCCCCCCCGCCCGCCTCCCCCCCCCCCCCCCCCGGAAACCCCCCCCCCCCCCCCCGCCCCGTCCTGGGGGCGCCATCTTGCCGACCCGCCTTCTCAGTGCAGCCCGGCGCGCGGCGCGCAGGCGCGAGGAGCGGACGCATGGGCCTCCTTTGTGTCCGCCCACTTCCCTGCGGGGCGGACACCTCGCTCACACGCACACACCTTTCAAAGTGTCCCAAACCTGAGTCGCTCCCAGTGACACTCTTCTCAAGATGGACCGTTCCCTCCCCACACCCCAAGTCACCAATGCTGAAGACTAGTGTCACTGTCACACAGACTGAATATGTCATCACTTAAGACATCACAGGGGTCAGAAGACAGAATTTAAAAATTATTTTCACCCACTTTCTTCATAAACAAAAGCTACAAAAGAGGACTTTAAAGGAAATTAAAAACGAATTGTGACATATGAATGTATAGTTTGACTGAACACAACAACAACTCCGTAAGTCAACGTGTGTGTGCGCGCACGCACCCAAATCAGTATGGATTTGACCTGGCCAGACTTTGGGACAAATGACACCCATCTGGAAAGCTGCGTCACGGCAAAGTCAGTGGCTGTGGAAGGGATAAAGCCTGGCTGGCTTGGGGGAGACCCAGCCTGTCGCCAGACTCTGGAAGAATGCTGGTGGTGGGGAGGGTGTCTTTGCTCTCAGCCTTTAAGTGACGTTGCATGGAGGTAAATACCAGCAGCAATTAACAAAAACAATAATACATTTTTAAAAGAAATGTGAGGGGAAGCCTTCCTCAAATAACCAAAATGCTTTACAGAAAATATATCCAAACGAATCTTTTTACTGGATCTCAAAATCTAGTCAACTCTGAAGTGTGATTCTTTAGGAGAAAGAAAAAAAAAAAAAAAAGCTTAGGAAACTGTGGTGCTCACCAAATCCATGTAGTTATGAGGCTTTATTTTACAAATAGAAAACTGGCGACCTTGGACACTGCCTGGCCCTCTCCTGAACACTAGACTCTAGGGTGTCGCTACAGTGGAATGGAATAAAACACTTTACACTTCAAGAAATGGAATGAGAAGATCATCACTATGCTTGTTATTTTCTTAAATCTCTTGAGGCCTTAAAAATATTAAAATTAATCTTTGAGAAGATCCTATCCTACAGACCCCTGTGTTCCCTTTATCCACGTCTGTGGCACCGGAGACCATCGTGCGCTGTGGTTACAAAGCAGGAGTGCTAATCCCCCCAATCCTGTGATTATATGCAGGAGAGTCAACAGCAGTTTCCCACTTATGCTCCAGACGCCAGAACGAGACGGCAGATCCAGGTCTCACCGCTGTCCCATGCCTGCCCTGGGCGAAGCCTTGCGTGGGTAGAGGGTATAATCTTCCATAAACAGATGACACATTTCAAGCAGCATCACTCATTCTTAAAAATCTACATTTTCTCAGAACCAGACTTTGGTTTCAAGACCAGTCAATACAGATGTAGCATTTTGTTAAAGACTAAAAATCTTTTTTTTTCCATCTGTGTGTATATATACACATATGAATGTGTGTACATATACCCATTCGTTTCTTTAACTTTATTTTAAAATGAGAGTCCCTGCCAGCCTTCCATGTCACTCCCCTTTTCCTTAGGTACTGTCTGGAGAGGAAGGAGAGCATGAAACCATTAAGGTGGCAACACGCACACTGTGAGGACTTCCTAGAAACCTCCTCAGGTGTGGATTTAGGATGAAGGGCAAACAGGGAAACAGTGCCTCAGGAACTCTTGTGGAGGGACAAGAAAGACAAAAAGAAGGAGAAGGTCTGGGTAATCTATGTACCAAATGATAACTAACTGAAGTGTTTTAAGTTCCAGCTCTCAGCAAGAATCTGTGCTAGCCACAGCAGGTGACGTTTCTCAGTCATTTACTGTGCTGGGACCCGGAGCTAAGCCCTTACCTGACACTGAACACAGAGGAATAAAACCTTCCTTCACCCATGGGATCCACCATGTAGTGCTTTCTAGGACCACATAACTATTAGGTCAGAATATGACACACAATGTAAGCGAATACAAATCCTGTGGGAGGTTGAGAAGAAAGGGAACCGAGTGGAAGGATTACAGAAGGTTTCATGAAGAGGGAGCACGGAAGCCGGCCTTCGAACGAGCTAGGCTTGAGTAACTCACGTAGGCAGATCACCAGAACGTCAGTTCCACAAAGGCAGGGGTCTCATTGGCTGTTATGTGAGGTATTCCCCAGGCCTGCCACGGTACGTGGCATACAGTAGGCACCTACTACGTATCAAACAGAAACATAAAAAATCCCAGCCTCAAGATGTAGAGGAAGCTGAAATCATCACCCAGATTTGAAGGACAATCATGTCTTTGATGTACATTTGTCCCACTGGATAATGGCACCGAACAAAGGGCTGTGGAGGTGGCACACAGCTGGACACATCCTGGGCTGGCCAACCTCTGACGAGCTGTGCCTTGGGTGAGCCAAGGGGGCAGGAAAGAGATTGAGGCCCACTTACTACAATATGACCGAATCAACGCCAGGTCTTCACATTCCTAAGCAGAATCCTCACACATGACGAGTAACAGGGAACATGACCTGAGCCCAGGAAAGAACCTCACCTGCGTTCCGTGGCCAGAAGTGAGAACTGGAAGGAATGTGGCATGGGAGCAGTGAGCACACCATGTGAATCCTAGGAGGGGACGCCCACTGGAATTCTGACAGGCTCTGTCCACCAAAGCCACAGGGCCACCAGGAAGTGGACGAGAGCATGGTGGGTGGGAATGCAGGACAGTCCCCTGAAGCATAAGGATCTCTCCTCCAGTCACCAGACCAAGCGGGCCTCAGGAGGCATCAGTAACACTTTGTGCAACCCGACTGGCCTAAAAAGGATCGCTCCCAGGGCATTCTAGCCTTGCTTGGAGAGGAGCTGATAGTTGGTTGTAAGAATGGCTCAGAAAGAACAACGGGAGATAGCATTTTCTAGCTTCTCTCTGTGGGCTCAGCTGCACTGGGTTTGGTTCTTTGCACTGGAAGTAAGTTCAAAACAGAATTCCTTTTCATCTGGCAGGTCAGGGAAAATAAACATGGCCGTGGCCTGGATGTTCCCTCCCAGACCCAGGAAAGAGGAAGAGCTGCCCAAGGCCAGAGTTCACCTGTGATGAATGCAGTTCTGAAGGGAAGAGCAGTTCTCTTCCTGAGGTGCTGTTTATCAAACCACTTAATGACACTGTTTCACTTTACTGGAATATTTAGGCCTTAGAAAAATCTAGCAGCAATTACAAACTAAGAAGAAACTGTATTGGATTTTAAGTGCATTGTTTTAGTTGTTGTTGTTTTTAAGTAATCTGAGTACCCAGGAGGGGCCTGAATTCACGACCCAGAGATCAAGAGTCACACGCTCTACTGACTGGGCCAGTCTGCCTCCCCTACACAATGTCGTTGAGTTTTACATTTTACTTGGAAAACAATGTCATTTCAGAAGTGTGTAAAAGTAGAGGGGAATTTCCTTCATCTGTCTCTAGGATTAACAGATACTTTGTCTAGTGCAGGTCTGACATGTCAGTCCTAATTCTGGTGATTAGCAATAAAAAAAATGACCAAAACCAAAAGCAAAATAGATGAATTCCTTCTCTGTCCACTTTGTCTTTAATAGTAATTAATGCTCAATTATTCACCGGTTTCATATTCTTTGAGAAAAACAACAAATTGTTTTATAATACACAAACTTTGCCCAAATCAATGGATGCTAACAGCCCATTTTATGGTCTTTGCTGGATTGCAACATAATGCGTAAATCAGAAATTTAAAAACTTAAAAATTATTTAAACTTAGTATACTCATTAATAGAATGAAATAGTTTTGTTTTTTTTTTTTGTTTGTTTGTTTGTTTTTTTTTTTTAGTTAAGTGAAGAAGAGACTTTAACCACTAGACCAACTGCTCTGCTGCAAATCTGAAATTAAACATGTCCTAATGGTACCTAAGTGGAACTAAGGTCTCTAATGCTACTGGGCACAAGGTAAGGGTAAGTCACAAAACAAACACAGAGCTTAAAAGTCTCCTTGGGAAGACCTTAAATTACTGGTCTGCACATAGGTGACTTTCCCAGGGGAGTTCCTGGTGTCTGTGATATGCGGAGTCTTAAGTGTCCCGCCCAGGTATAAACACTGTGTGGGCAGGCCCCCTTCCTCTAAAAGTTCACCTTTGTGCTCTGGATTAGAGCGAGGATGGCTCAGGCCAGTAACACGAGTCATCCGCAGGTGGAGGCCCTACGGCCCCAGCTCTGTATAACCATCTCATGCCGGTACTTTCCCAGCTGGGTACTTGTCAAGACAGGAAGCCAACTGTGACCTTAGACTCCAGGCTTCATGTGGGTGGGCGCTGGGTCTGGTGTGTTTACAACTATGTGCCCAGCTGCCAGCAGGATGTCCGGCACATCCTTGGCGATGAGTAAGTAAGTATACGCTGAATAAATGACGAATGGCTGGGAGAGCAAGGCGACTACCGGCTACGGGCTAGCTCCCCGACTAAGTATATTGCCTGATAACTTAAGCTGACCGCAGTGAATGGTCATGTCCTGACTTGGTGGCATATATCCTCCTCAGTTGTAAGAGGAGCTCCAAGTAACATCTAGTCTTGGCCAAGTTCATGAGTCTGTAAATCACTTACTCACAAGACGGTTAGTTCAGAGTGGACTGAGGCTACTCTCGTAATGACCTGCCCTTCGTGATGCTTCCTCACAAGGTAGAGAGGCTGCTGTTCTGGTGGGGGCCGGGGGACCGAAAGAGGGTTCGGGAACAAACCGACCTGAGAAATAGGATGGAAACTCATTTGTCACTCAGAGAAACCGTGTCTGTTCCTGTTTCCACCTTCACTGGTGTCTCCTGCCTTCCCCTCAACTCCTAATTTCTTGAAATAGAAAAA